CTAACTGCAACCTCTGACTCCCAGGTTCAAACAATTCTCCTGCCTCAGCCTCCCAAGTAGCTGGGATCACAGGGGCATGCCATTCCCCCTGGCTAATTTTTGTATTTTTAGTAGAGACAGGGTTTCACCATGTTGGTCAGGGTGGTCTCAAACTCCTGACCTCAGGCGATCCACCCACTTCAGCCTCCCAAAGTGCTGAGATTACACCCGTGAGCCACCAGGCCAGGCCTGAAGAATTTTAAAAGGAGAAATAACATAACTAGTTTTCGTTTTTCAAAGATCAATGACTATTTTAGGGGACTGATTCGGAGGGTGCCGGGGTAAAGCAGGTAGCAGGAGACAGGCTATTGTAAGAGATTATTGTGGCATGAACCTGGGGAAATTGGAAAATGTCAGGTATAGGTGTATGTTGGAGATGGTATTAATAGAACTTTGAACAGGCTGGGTGTGGAAGGTGAGGGAAAAGGAGAATTCAGAGAGACACCCTAATTTTTCATTTGAGTAACCAGTGGCGGCGATGCCATTTCCTGGGTTGAAGGGTGGAACAGTGGAAAATGCAAACGTCTGATTGCAGTTGGGAGGGTGTGGGCCATCCCAGTGGAGCCATCGGGAGGCAGGTGAATATTCAGCCTGGACTTCAAGGGAGATGTTTTGTCACATTCCCATGACATTACTATTATTTTATTCATGAACTTATTATTTATTTTTAATTTATTATTTAATTTATTTATTTTTAGAGACAGGATCTCGCTCTGTCACCCAGGCTGGAGTGCAGTGGCACAATCATGGCTCATTGCAGACTTCACTTCCTTGGGTTCAAGTGATCCTCCTGCCTCAGCCTCCCGAATGGCTGGGACTATAGGCACACACCACTGCACCTAGCTAATTTTTATATTTTATTTTATTTTTTTGAGACAGAGTCTTGCTCTGTTGCCCAGGCTGGCTTGGTCTCAGCTCACTGCAACCTCCAACTCCCAGGTACAAGCAATTCTCCTGCCGCAGCCTCCCGAGTAGCTGGGATTACAGGCACCCTCCACCACGCTCAGCTAATTTTTGTATTTTTAGTAGAGACGGGATTTCACCATGTTGGCCAGGCTGGTCTCCAACTTCTGATCTCATGATCTGCTCTCCTTGACCTCCCAAAGTGCTGGGATTACAGGTGTGAGCCACTGTGCCCACCCAATTATTTTTTGTGGAGACAGGGTCTCACTATGTTGCCCAGGCTGGTCTCCAATTTCTAGGCTCAAAAGATCCTCCCACCTTGGCCTCCCAAAGCGCTGGGATAACAGGCGTGAGCCACTGTGCCTGGTCCCATGACGTTATTTACAGTCATAGGGATGATGCCACCCTGAACCAGCTTGAACCCTGAAAAACTTTAGAGATTGAGGAGAGAAACCAGGACAAGCAGAAGAAAGTGATAGGGAGAAGCAAGGGATGGGGAAAGGAAAGAGTGAGCGGCTTCCACGGAGGCTGAGAGAATCAGGTGCTTCCAGAAGGGGGCTGGGCCAATTGGGCTGCTTGCTTCTGAGGCTCTGGGAGCTGAGGACAGAAGCGTGTTCACTGGACTTGGCAGCAGGGAGGGCGCAAGTGACTTGACAAAAGTAGTTTCAGTGGAGGAGGAAAGGGAAGCTGGGTTGGAATGGATTGGAGAGAGAATGAAAGATAAGGAAGTCAAGACAGCTGGTGTAGACACTTTCCAAGAAGTTTTACTGTAAAGAGGAACAGAAAAATAGGGCAATCGATGCAGGGAGGTGTGAGGCCAGGAGAGCAGTTTGTCACCATTGCTGTTGTTTTTAAAGTCAGGGACACTAGAGCCTGTTCACAGATGGGGAGAGGTTGATGGGCAGTAGAAAGAGGACACCTGGAGAGGTCTTTGGGAAGCAAGAGGCATTGGGGTCCTAAGCCCCAGGAAAGCCAGACCCTTGCTTATTATTATTCTCACAGGATGGAGGAAGAAGGGGTGGGATTATTATTATTCTCACAGGATGGAGGAAGATGGTTCTGTGTATTTGACAGTGTGTGGTGGCTCTTCCTTCCTCGGGGAAGACGATCTGCTGGGAGGCTCATGGGGAGGAGTGTGGAAGTTTGAGGGAAGAGAAGAAGGCATGAAATCGTTGTTTTCAAAAAGTGACAAAGTGAGCCTACCAGAAAAATCCACACTTACAGGGCTGGCATACTTGAGGACAAACCGGGAGTATGTGACCATGACTTTAAGGTGAGCCCAGCCTGGTCATATCATTCCTCCAGCCACGTTTCTCCAGCTCGGGGGCTGACTCCAGAAAAGCAGAGTGGGGGACATGCAGGTTAGGGGTTCCCCAGGAGAGTGTGATAGGAGGAGAGAGATCGCACCCTGGGAGTTGTGGAGGAGGGACTAGAACTTCGATCTTCTAAGTGAGGCTAGATGAGGAGGGATGTGAAGTCAGAATCGGTCTGATGGAGAGGGAGAAAGTGCAGGGTCCAAGGACTGCAGATACCCAAAGATTATAGCAACTAGGCCACTGAGCTGGGAGCTGAGAAGGTGGTGGGGGCAAGGGGAGAGCTTGAAGTGGTGATATCAGAGGAGATATTGTTTCTGGTTATGATTTAGGTCCAGGGAGTGCTTAAAGGAGAAAAGAGCTAAGGTGGAGTGTCCCTGTAATTCACTCACTCACTTATTCATTTGATAAACTTTAATTGAGCTGGTGACACAAACAAGAAGAGTTTCCACCCAGCCAGGGTGCCCAGGGAGGGCTTCCTGGAGGAGGTGGTTCTTGTGTGGGTTGAGTCGAGAAAGATGAATGGAAGCTCTCCAGGGAGACAAAGAGGATGGGTGCTCTGGGAGGAGAGCAAACCACAAGCAAAGGCATAGGGGTTAGAGGAGGGGGGTGGGAAACAGCTTGGCCCATTTGTGAAAATGGAGGTAGCATGGCCAGATGATGGGGGAAGTGTAGGTGATGAGGTAGGGATCTGATCATGGAGGGCCTTGGGAGCCCTAGGGAGGGTTTAGGACTTACTCTTAAGCAGTGGGAAGCCATTGAAGATTTAAGCAGGGAGGGAAACTTGTTATTTTACAGATATTTATGATAGTCTAGGGGGAGAACCTGGTGGGAGGTGGGGTTTTTTTTTTTGTTTTTGAGACAGGGTTTCACTCTGTCACCCAGGCTGGAGTACGATGGCACCATTATGGCTCACTGCAGCCTCAAACTCCTGAGCTTAAGGGATCCTCCTGCCTCCATAGCTGGGGCTGCAGGAACATGTCACCACTTGGGGAGGTTATTTGAACAGAGTAGGTGAGGGGTGGAGGGTGGAGAGGGCAGTGACACTGGGGAGGGAGCATCCGTAGGGTGTGGAACTGGCCAGATCTACCACCAAGATGCTTCGGGCAGCCAGCAACCAAAGCCAGCTTCAACAAGTGGAACCAATGAGGACTTTCTTCCCCTTGCATTGCAAAACAGTGAGACCTCAGGGGTAACGGAGGGGTAGGAGAAGAGGAAATTAGGAGTAAGTGAACATTTTGAAGGGAGAGGTGTGCGCTGTGCAAAGAAAAGAGGCTGCAGAACAGGCCCCAGAGAAGAAGTATCTTCCAGGGGCAGGGAAGGGGCAGGTCCCAGAGCCGAGCTGGGCAGTGCAGCCGGAGGGGCAGGTGATGTCCTGCTCCCAAGAAGAAAGGCGGTAAGCAGTGTGAGGCACTCAGGAGGGCTGGCGAGGAAGAAAACACTGGATCTGGCCCCTGGGGCACTCTGGTGACTCAGGTGAGAGTTGTTTCCTTGAGCGCTGGGGTTGGGAGCCAGACTGTGTGTCTGTGGGCTTTTGTGGCCCCACTTGGGCTCCTATAATGAAAAGAGTGAGCAGTATCAGGACAGAAGGATCGTCGCAGTAGGGACTTCGGACTGGGTGGGTGCACAGCAGCCCTGGGGTCCCTCCAAGGCCATCTGGCTGGTTGGCACCTTCTGTGTAGTGCCAAGCAGCATGTAGGGGTGTATGTGGGGCAAGTGATGGGGAGGAAGGTAGCAAGGTATGTGACAGGGCTGTGAGGTGCAACTGGGAAGGTCAGCATGAGGGGTGGCTCCAGGCCGGGTGTGCGTGTGTGTGCCTGTGTGTGCAAATGTGTGTGTGCACGTGCATGCCCTCCCTCACGATGGGGACCAATGAGCAGCTGAGGGCAGGGTCGGCAGGAATGAGCAGAGTCATCCGTGTGGAAACACGACTCCCTGGGTGCTATAGGGAGCAACTGGAAAGCCAGGCACGGGGGCGTGTCCAGCTTTGCCCAATGGCCCCGGTCTCTTCCTGGCCGCCCTCCCCACCTGTTAAGCAAGCCTGAAAAGTGCCTGTGCTGACCAGGGCGGGGGCTCTGCTGTGGGCACCAAGGCCCGAGGGCCATCCTCAGGTGTGGCTTTGGGGCTGTCTGGGGGTCTGTCTAGGTCCCTTTGGTGCAGGGGTGGCTCCAGTTCTGTCCATGTGGATCTCGCGGTGACTGTGTGTGGCTGGGCTGCAGGGGTCTCTCTGCAACTGCCTGCTGATGTGATCATTCCCCAGGGTCATTTGCAATAAGTGATCCCCTTCCCTTCCACAGGAACAGTCTCTGGAGGGCTGGGCAGAAGGGGTGAGGGGCCAGGAGGGGCCCAGTTCATACAGTGCTCACAGGCATCAAAGGCTCCTGATGGGTGCCCCTTCCCCCCATCCAGCTCATTCTGGGACCACCAGCCAAAAGCAGTCCCCAGGAGCTCTAGCCCTGCCCCCACCATTGGAGTCACCCATTTCCTTGTCCCTGGGACCTTTCCCATATGTCCTTCTCTTCCATGTTAGTACCTGTAGTTCTCCAGACACAATGTTCCTCTCCCAGCTCACCCTGCCTGCCCAGGGGACTCCATTCCCCAGGGCTGTGGGAGGCAACTGCTGGGAGCCCTCCGCTGGGCCCAGGGCCCTTCCTTCTTCCCTCTCCCAGACCAATACTAAGTACCCCAAAGGTCAGGAAAAAAGGAATCCACCCCACCCCCACCTTCCTTTTCCCTTCTCTCCAGGTCAGGGATGGCACACAGGCAGAGGCGCCCCTGGCAGACATCACTAATCAATCACAGCAACCTTTTTGCACAGAGCCTGGCTGCCCCTTCATGGTCTCTACCTGCATCTTCAGGTGGCTAATATCAGGATCCACATTGGCCCTCATGATGAAGTCCCTGTGCTAGTCCCACTTTAGTCTGACTCCCACTCCCCACCACGCCCCTCATCCTGGCCCATTCAGAAGTCACCTGAGCACAGCCAGCTGTGGTTCTCTCTCTGTCCTCTTAGGCTAAAGTCACACAGTTCCAGGAGCTCGGGCCCAGAAGGCAGTCGAAGGCACTGGGGCATTGGCCCCACATCCCAAGGCCACAGAGAATCTGGTTGGTTTGCCGTCAGTCCTGGGGGTGGCCCCCGCCACTGCTAGGGAGAGCGTGGTGTGGGGCCAGGGGTGATGCTCTGTGCCCAGCACCTGTGCAGCAGTAGCACCTGGGCCTTGCAGGCACATCTCCCAGTCCCAACAGAGCCTGCACGCCCACCTCCCCAGCTCGGCTGCTGGGCAGGCAGGAGGTGAGGAACGGCCGGCCGGCCCAGGGAGGGGCAACTGCCCAGCACCCCGGGGCTGCCCACTGCAGCTGTCCCGGCTACCCATCCTGGTCTCTGAGCCCAGGATGCGAGGATGGCCAGACCGTCTCTTGCCACCGTGGTGCCTCTGGGCCCTGAGTGCCTGCGCCCCTTTACCCGGGAGTCCCTGGCAGCCATAGAACAGCGGGTGGTGGAGGAGGAGGCCCGGCTGCAGCGGAACAAGCAGATGGAGATTGAGGAGCCCGAACGGAAGCCTCGAAGTGACTTGGAGGCTGGCAAGAACCTGCCCATGATCTATGGAGACCCCCCGCCAGAGGCCATCGGCATCCCCCTGGAGGACCTGGATCCCTACTACTGCGACAAGAAGGTTCGGGCCTGGGAAGCCTCCCTCTGTCTGTCTGCTGTCCATCTGTCTGTCTGTCCCCAGGCCTCACAGCCTCTCTCCCCACCTTAGACCTTCATCGTTCTCAACAAGGGCAAGGCCATCTTCCGCTTCTCCGCCACACCCGCTCTCTACATGCTGAGCCCCTTCAGCATGGTCAGGCGAGGGGCCATCAAGGTGCTCATCCACGCATATCCTGCCGGAGAAGGGAGAGGCGGGAGGGCTTAGGGATGGGCGAGATGGGGTGCTCTGGGCCAGGAGACCCGCCATCACCTCCCCTCCTAGCTGCTTCGTCACTCTCCTTGACCCTGCCCCACGCTGTTCAGCATGTTCATCATGATCACCATCTTGACCAACTGTGTGTTCATGACCATGAGTAACCCGCCTCCCTGGTCCAAGAATGTGGAGTGAGTCTCCCCCATCCCTGAGCTCCCCAGCCCTGGGACACAGACCATCTCAGGTGTCTGCACCTCTGCGTGACACTGCTCTTGTCTTTCAGGGAGACACACTGTCACCGTGACCCTTTTCCACACCTTGAACCCCCGGGGTGGCCACACTATCACTCGATAGTGTCCTTAGCTGCTTGGGTGGCATATTTTATTTCTGGGGGTCTGTCGTTGCCACAGTCATCCCTGCCTGTGTGACATGCCTGCCCTGGCCGGCCCTCTTCCCCCCAGGTACACCTTCACAGGGATCTATACCTTTGAGTCCCTCATCAAGATACTGGCCCGGGGCTTCTGTGTCGATGACTTCACATTCCTCCGGGACCCCTGGAATTGGCTGGACTTCAGCGTCATCATGATGGCGTGAGCAGGGGCCCGAGCCTGGGATGGGTGAGGGGAGGGGCCAGGCCTCAAAGAGGGCAGCTGCCTGTGCTGAGGGCTGCAGGGGACATTTGTCAGTTGTGCAGACAGGGAGCTGCACAATTCTAGAAGCTGCCATTCTCAGGGTCTGGCTCAGAGCTCTCCTGAAGGCCTCCTGGTCATCCCATGAATCAGCCCTGACCTGCAGGCCCTCACCCGCTAGGAGAGCCGGGCTGTCTTTGCCATCCCCACTCCCCCACAGCAGAGCTCATGCACTGTTCTTCCCAACTCCTGGGCTCCCAGAGGAGCTTTGAGGGTGTCTTACCTGCCCCCAGACCCTGTGGAACCCCCAACTTCTAGAGAATCCTCATTCCAGGCCTGGAGAGGCCCTGATTTCTGCCCTACGACCCACCCCAGGCTCTGACAGTCCCCACCTCACTCCACCCCCCTCCCAGGTACCTGACAGAGTTTGTGGACTTGGGCAACATCTCAGCCCTGAGGACCTTCCGGGTGCTGCGGGCCCTCAAAACCATCACAGTCATCCCAGGTACTGGGGAGGTGCAGGGACCCTCTGCCTGAGCTGAGAGATGCCACCACCCCCGGCCACACAATGCACCTGCCGGGAACCTGACTCAGGGTCACAACCCTCCCCGGCTGAGAACTCACAGCAAAGCCTGGACAAAGAGGGGCCCACGTGACCAGGGGGCAGAAGGGGTTCTATGTGGAAGAATGGCATTTGAGAGGCAGCATAGCAAGGTGGTTAAGAGCACAGACTCAGCTGGGTATGGTGGCTCACGCCTGTAATCCCAGCACTTTGGGAGGCCAAGGCAGGTGGATCAAGTAAGTTTGAAACCAGCCTGGCCAACATGGCAAAATGCCGTCTCTGCTAAAAATACAAAAGTTAGCCTAGTGTGGAGGCAGGTGCCTGTAGTCCCAGCTACTCAGGAGGCTGAGGCAGGAGAATCACTTGAACCCAGGAGACAGAGGTTGCAGTGAGCCTAGATCATGACACTGCACTCCAGCCTGGGAAAAAGAATGAGATCCTGTCTCAAAAGAAAAAAAAAAAAAAAGCACAGAGTCTGGAGCCTTGACTGCCTGGGTTCAATTCTCACCTCTACCACTTCCTAACTTTGCCTTTGGGCAAATGCCTCATCCCGTCTGTGTCTCAGTTTCCTTATCTATAGAATATGTAGACTAATAATACCACTCCTTGGTTTGTTGTAAGGATTAAATGTCTTAATGTCCGTAAGGCCCTCATAGCCCTTGACCCATGGCTTGTGATATACATGTGTGTGCTCAATAAAATAAGCAGACCAAGCAGAGCAGAGAGAGACACAAAAGGACTCCATGAGGGAAAGTCCCAGCCCTGAGAGCTCAGTTAGGAACACGCCACGCCCCTGCTGACCATGAGGCCAGGGCAATTCCAAAGTAATGCATCGAGAAACTGAATTAATAGAATCCGATCATTCAGACCCACAAAAGAGCAAGTAGAGAAACTGGAGATGGCCCAGTAGAGAGAAAGAAAAAGGATCGAGATCAGTCTCTGGAAAGAGGGGAAATTGTTAAATCCTAATGCAAGAAAGTACCTGAGGCCAGGCACGGTGGCTCACATCTGTAATCCCAGAACTTTGGGAGGCCAAGACAGGCTGATCACTTGATGTCAGAAGTTCGAGACCATCGTGGCCAATATGATGAAAACCCATCTCTGCTAAAAATACAAAAATTAGCTGAGTGTGGTGGCACCTGCCCATAACCCCAGCTACTTGGGAGGCTGAGGCAGGAGAATCGTTTGAACCCAGGAGGCAGAGGTTGCAGTGAGCCGAGATCACACCACTGCACTCCAGCCTGGGCAACAGAGCGAGACTCCACCTCAAAGTAAAAAAAAATGAAAGAAGTACCTGAGCTCTCTTCTAGTCTAAATAAAGCCCTCTGACTACAGCCAAGGAAGGTGAGGCCCCGGGAGAGGAAGCGCTTCCCAAATTCCATACTGCACGTTGGCCACTGAGCCAAGATGGCGTTGCCTTTCCTGTGTCAGCTGCTGGCGTCCTGGGAGCGCAAGAGTTCTTTTATAAGGAGTCTGCCAAGCATTTGTTTTCCATATCAAGATAAGAAAAGGAAATGAATTCATATTAAAGCAAGAGGCACTATGATTAGGCTCAAGAAGAAGTTATGGCTCTTGCACAGGTGATGGGAATCAGCCCCTGGGATTCTTTCAGCATTGTTTATGCCTTTGTCTCTCCAAAGAATGTAATGATGTTTCAGGGTCAGTCTAGCGCTTCTCAGAGTGAACCCTGCTGTTTCCTCAGGGGTTACTAGGTATTTTAAGGAAAAGGGTTCTGTGGTCAAATACGTTAAGGAAACGTGGAATTAAAGTTTTTGTTTAATAGTCCAGGCAAGGTGGGTGATGCCTGTAATCCCAGAACTTGGGGTGGCCGAGGCAGGCCAATTACTTGAGACCAGGAGTTTGAGACTAGGCTGGCCAACATAACAAAACTTCGTTCCTACAAAAATTCAAAAAGATTAGTTGGGGGTAGTGACACCCACCTGTAATCCCAGCTACTCATGAGACTGAGCCAGGAGAATCACTTGAACCTGGGAGGCGGAGGTTGCAGTGAGCTGAGATTGCACCACGGTACTCCAGCCTGGGTGACAGAATGAGACGCTGTCTCTAAATAAATAAATAAGTTTTTATTTATTTTAGTTTTTGTTTAAATACAGTTTTTGTTTATTTCTGCTTTTCAGAGCCTTTGATAGGATAATCTACATAATGACTCTCCAAGAACAGAATCCAGGGCGCAGCTTTTCCCAAACGTTATCAACCCCCCTTTTTAAGGGCACAGCATAGGAGATTAGTGTTCTATCAAACAGATTTTGAGGGTGCTAACCTAGTGACACGTAGTAAGCTCCTCTGTGTGTCTTGGTTTGCTCTAGAGGTCAGACAACAGCCCATCAGGTCTTTACAGTCCATTCTCCTAGTGGCTGAGCACCTGTGGCCATTTGCAGACTCCAGATTGAGGATGTGATCAGAGAACAGTGGGGCTAATTAGGGTGGGGTTAATTTCAGAAGGCTTCGGGGAAGTAGTGGTGCTCAGTCAGTCAGGCCTTGGAGATGGAGTAGGAAAAAGATTGGTGGTGGGAGCCAGTGGGGAGGGGTTCTGTTTTCACCCTGCGCTGCCCCCTGCCAATATCCTCGCTCTCTCTGCGGTCAGGGCTGAAGACGATTGTGGGGGCCCTGATCCAGTCTGTGAAAAAGCTGTCAGATGTGATGATCCTCACTGTCTTCTGCCTGAGCGTCTTTGCGCTGGTGGGGTTGCAGCTCTTCATGGGAAACCTGAGGCACAAGTGTGTGCGCTGGCCCCCGCCGTTCAACGACACCAACACCACATGGTACAGCAATGACTCGTGGTACGGTAACGACACGTGGTATGGTGATGCAATGTGGCACACCAATGACTCATGGTATGCCAACGACACGTGGAACAGCCATGCAAGCTGGGCCACCAATGATACCTTTGATTGGGATGCCTACATCAATGACGAAGGTAAGAGCAGAGGGTGGACAGGCAAGGGGGAACCTAGCGCAGCCTCTGCCCCTATTTCTTCTTCTTCTTTTTTTTTTTTTTTTTTTTGAGTTGGAGTCTTACTCTGTTGCCCAGGCTGGAATGCAGTGGCATCATCTCGGCTGACTGCAACCTCCACCTCCCAGGTTCAAGCAATTCTCCTGTCTCACCTTCCTAAGTAGCTGAGATTACAGACATGTGCCACCAGGCCCAGCTAATTTTTGTATTTTCAGTAGAGACAGGTTTTCACCATGTTGGCCAGGCTGGTCTCAAACTCCTGACCTCAGGTGATCTGCCCACCTCAGCCTCCCAAAGTACTGAAATTACAGGTGTGAGCCACTGCACCCAGCCCTGCCTCCACTTCTTATGAGACAAATACGCCAGCGAGGACCTGAGCTTAAATCCAGCACTTGGTAGCCTGTGTCACTTCTGACAAGTCACTTGATCTCCCTAGCCCTCTGAATCCTCACCTATAAAATCAAGATAACTATCTTCCTCAAAGGGCTAGTACAACAACAAATGGAAAACTGTTTTTAAAACCCTAAAGTGCTGAGCACAGTGGCTTATGCCTGGAATCCTAGCACTTTGGGAGGCTGAGGCGGGTGGATCACCTGAAGTCAGGAGTTTGAGACTAGCCTGACCAACATGTTGAAACCCCATCTCTACTAAAAATACAAAAATTAGCCAAGTGTTGTGGTACATACCTGTAATCCCAGCTACTTGGGAGGCTGAGGCAGGAGAATTGCTTGAACCCAGGAGGTGGAGGTTGCAATGAGCCGAGACTGCGCCATTACACTCCAGCCTGGGCAACAAGAGTGAAACTCGGTCTCAAAAAAAAAAAAAAAAATCCTAAAGTTCTCACTATACAAAGCAAGAGTCTATAGTTCCTACTCCCTAACCTGTGTACCCCCTGTCCTCCTTCATCACACCACGTGCTCACAACCACCCCCCAACATACCCACATCTTATTTACATATGCATCTGCACAGTACACATGCCAGAAACACACACATTCTCACACAGCCACTGTTCGTCCACACAGTTGCTTCCTGCCAGTTAGGAAAAGGTGACCTTTTCACGCTGGCACTTGGATTTCAGCCCCCACTCGCCCTTCACTCAGGGGCCCTGCACAGGTTCACCGTAGCCCTATGCACACATGTACACATTCTCTCTTTGTGCTGCTGCTGTGTCCTGACTTTACGTCCACACCGGGCACTGCGCTGATAGTGCTTGCAGCTGAGCCCCCTGCCAAGTCCCTGCCAGAGACCTTGGGACTTAGTACTGTCCTTAAAAGAAGGGGAAGAGGCAGCCAGGGAACATCCGTTTTGTTTATTGCGGTGCACACAGACCTGTTCACAGGTGAGCAGTGAGTGTAGGTGCTCACACTGTGTCCATGTGGGTGACTTGTCTCCTTTGTGGCCTCTGACTCCCAAAGGGAACTTCTACTTCCTGGAGGGATCCAACGATGCCTTGCTCTGTGGGAACAGCAGTGATGCTGGGTGAGTGGGGCTAAGAGTTGGGGAAAAGGTGCTCTAGGGGTCTTGGAAGGTGGGAATTGATTCAAGGTGAGGAGGGCCTGGGGTGGACAGGAGTGTGGGGAAGTCTGTGGGCATGGATGGAATCCTTTTCTGTTTGGGGGACACAGGCAGAACTGAGGGATTCTTTTTTTCCCTTGGGGTCCCCATCTGTCCCCAGCTGGAGTGCTCCTCCCACCCTAAACCCAGCCCCCTGTCCTAACCCTAGGCACTGCCCCGAGGGTTATGAGTGCATCAAGGCCGGGCGGAACCCCAACTATGGCTACACCAGCTACGACACCTTCAGCTGGGCCTTCCTGGCTCTCTTCCGCCTCATGACACAGGACTATTGGGAGAACCTCTTCCAGCTGGTACAGCTGCCCCCAGCCTGCCCCCCAATGCTACGGCCACCCCACCTCCATCCCTGCAGCCTCTTCAGGGCCTGACAGGGCCTACCACAGGATGGCCAACCCCTGAGCTGGGCCATCTCCTCCTGGGCTCCCACACTACCCTTATAGGAGCTGGGTGCCCTCTGAAATTGGGCACCTGCCCCGAGCCAAGCCAAGGCTTTAATTCTTTCCACACTTTGCTTTCAGAGCCAAGGTCTGGGCCTAGCATAGCCATGCCCAGGAACCCCCAGGCCTCACGATAACCAGTAGGGCAGCTTAGAAATTCAGTGCTCCCCATACTTTATTTGCCTTCTGCTGTTTGCAGGGAAGGCAGGCTGAGTCCAAAGTGATAGTGCCTTCTGATGCCTGGTGACGTTTCTAACATTGATGTTGATAACAATAACAATAACAATAGCTACTAGCTGGGCACAGTGACTCACGCCTGCAATCCCAGCACTCTGGGAGGCCAAGGCAGGTGGATCACTTGAGGTCAGAAGCTTGAGACCAGCCTGACCAACATGATGAAACCCCATCTCTACTGAAACAAATAGAAAAATTAGGCGGGCGTGGTAACATGTGCCTGTAATCCCAGCTACTTGGGAGGCTAAGGCAGGAGAATTGCTTGAACCTGGGAGATGGAGGTTGCAGGTTCAAGCAATTCTCCTGCAAGTGACTGAGATCGAGTCACTGCACTCCAGCCTGGGGGCAACAGAGCAAGACTCCATCTCAAAAAAATGCAAAATACAAAAATTAGCCAGCTATGGTGGTGAACACCTATAATTCTAGCTACTCAGGAGGCTGAGGCAGGAGAATCACTTCAATCTGGGAGGTGGAGGTTGCAGTGAGCCGAGATCACACCACTGCACTCCAGCCTGGGCAAAAGAGCAAGACTCCATCTCAAAAAAATGCAAAATACAAAAATTAGCCAGGTATGGTGGTGAACACCTATAATTCTAGCTACTCAGGAGGCTGAGGCAGGAGAATCACTTCAATCTGGGAGGTGGAGGTTGCAGTGAGCCGAGATCACACCACTGCACTCCAGCCTGGGCAAAAGAGCAAGACTCCATCTCAAAAAAAAATATTGATCAAATAATAATAATGGCTACTATTTGTTCAGTTCCTACTAGGTACCAGGCACTGTGGCAAAGCTAGAATTCAAGCTGACCCCTAATCCATGTTCACTAACTTTCTGTCCTGGCTCTCTGATATCAGTATGCCTGGCTTCAGTCCTCCTCTGGGCCAGGAGACCAGAAACGCTTGAATCCCGATTAGATATTTTGAAGGTCCCCAGAACATGGCTCAGTGTGCCAATGATGGCCATCAATTCCTCAGGCTCAGTGAGGGAGGGGCTTTGCTTACCCATCCAGGCAATGGATGTATGGAGAGGGGCAGTGGGTCAAAGGAGGTGAATGCCATGGGACCCCTCCATTCCCTCTCCCCCCACTCCCAGACCCTTCGAGCAGCTGGCAAAACCTACATGATCTTCTTCGTGGTCATCATCTTCCTGGGTTCTTTCTACCTCATCAATCTGATCCTGGCCGTGGTGGCCATGGCGTATGCTGAGCAGAACGAGGCCACCCTGGCTGAGGATAAGGAGAAAGAGGAGGAGTTTCAGCAGATGCTTGAGAAGTTCAAAAAGCACCAGGAGGAGTTGGAGAAGGTCTGGACCCCAGGGCTCTCCCTGCCCTCAGCTGGGGCTGCCTGACCACTGGCTTCTCCTTGGGGGGCTGAGGGTGAGGGAGGGCATGGGGGTAGGGGTTTTGAGGCAAAAGGAGCAGAAAGCCCCGGCTGGGAGCTTTGCTGGTGGGGGAGGGGGACACCCAAGCAGTAGAAAAAGCATTTATCTGCTCTGTACCTTAGTTTCCCTGTCTATAACAAGGAATCTGGAGTAGCTAAAGCCAAAGTATTTTTCCAGCTCAGACATTTCTGGTTTTGAGATGCTTTCTGGGCAGCAGATGGGTCCACACTGAGGGAGGGGCTGGTCTTGATGAAGCCCCAGTGAGCAGCTGACCATTTTCTCATTCTCTCACCAAGTGGACGGTTTGTGGGTGCATAAGTCAAGGGTCTTCAGGGAAGAGGATCTTCAGACACTTTGGTCCCTACCCTGTCACCCCCACCACCACATTAGCCTGTCCCTTCCCTACCTGCAGTAAGTTTGACACACCCTGAAGGACCCTGAGGATCAATTAGTCTATCCCCCTGGCTCAGAGCTGGACTTCCTGCCTGTCACTCTTGCTGGTCTACAGGCCAAGGCCGCCCAAGCTCTGGAAGGTGGAGAGGCAGATGGGGACCCAGCCCATGGCAAAGACTGCAATGGCAGCCTGGACACATCGCCAGGGGAGAAGGAAGCCCCGAGGCAGAGTGGCAGCGGAGACAGCGGCATCTCTGATGCCATGGAAGGTGAGTGCCTTGGTCCCTGTGCCCACTTAGGTAGTGTGGGGCCTGGCTGGCCTGGATTCAGGAGGACAGGGATGCCATGGAAGGTGAGTGCCCTGGGCCCCCTCTATCCTTTCAGGCTCCTGAGGTCAGGATGGAGCCTGGCTGGACTGGCTTCAGGACAGTAACTTAATATTGGCACAGAAGAAATGGCTGTGATAAATATAGCCCTGCCTTAACCTGGCCCAGTTCTAGCTGCAAGGCCAGGCTTCTGTGGTAACTGGGGGCTTCCGGGAGGGCCTTGGGGGCTGCCCAATGGGAAGCATAGTCTAATAATACTAACCAGAAAGCCCAATGTTCCGGAAACTGGACATCCTGCTCCTCAAGTGTTCTCTGGGTAAAAGTTAATGGTCAAAAGTCAGATTCTGCCCAACCAGAATCCCCAATCCCTGTGCCACCCACCAAATTTCAGAAGAATAAGGATGTGATGAGAGGGGTGAATAGACACAACATGATGGATGGATGGGTAACAGATGGATGGACAGACAGCCGGCCGAATGAACAGATGGATGGATGAATGGATGGATGGACACATGGACAAACAGATGGATGGACAGATGGATGGATGGATACCTGGACAGACAGACAGATGGATGAATGGATGAATGGATAGATGGATGGATGGACAGATGGACAGACGGATGGATAGATAGATGGACAGACAGATGGATAGACACATAGATGGATGGATAGACAGATTGACAGATGGACCGATGGACTGGTAGATGGATGGATGGATGAATAGATGGATAAATAGATGGATGAATGGATGGATGGACAGATAGACAGATGGCTGGATAGATAGATGGATAGACAGATGGACCAATGGACCAGTGGATGTATGGATGGATGGATGAATGGATGGACAGACAGACAGATGGCTGGATAGATAGATGGACAGACAGATGGATAGATGGATGGATAGACAGATGGACGGATGGATGGATGGATGGATGGATGGAGGATGGATGGATGAATAAATGGCTGGATGGATAGATGGATGGATGAATAAATGGCTAGATGAATAGATGGGTGGATGGACAGATGGATGAAAGGATGGACAGATGGAGGGACAGACAGATGGATGGATGAGAGGGAGGAAAGTGTGGAAGCAGGAGGGAAGGAGGAAGCACAGGAAAGAGGGATGATAGGATAAAGGAATTCTGATGCAGACAGATCTGGTTTCATCCCCAGGTCAGCCTGCCTTGTGCCAGGGGGTTGGGAGCCTTGCAGGACTTTGCAGATTTCTAGAGGGCACCATGTCACCTGACCTTGTATGACAGGCATCCAGGTGACCATATGCCCTGCCAGAGAGTGTCCAGGGAATGCTGGGGGAGGAGGCCTCTCCACCTTGCCATTGCCAGGACCATTGTGAGAAGTTTTGGGCCTCAGACCCTGTTTGGGCACCTGCAGAAGCACAGGGTAGGAGTGGAGGTGCAGACTGGGGAGGTTTTGATTGAGGCACAGTGTGCTAATTGCTGGGTATAGGGGGTCCAGCCACCCACACCCTTGGCATGAACCCAGGGTCTCCAATGGGCTGCCACCCACCCACCCACTCCCATCCCTTTTTTTCCTCTTGGAAATGGGAGGCACTGATTGCATTTACCAGGTAAACCTGCCGTGATGAGTAAGTGAGATTATGGCTGGGCCAAGGACATTCCTGTAGTACACCAAGGCCAGGAGGAGGAGGAGCAGCTTCGTCCCATGGTCCTTGCACAGCACTCATGGCTTTGGGGTGGCAAGAACAGGGAGTGTTTCCAGAAGGCGACTCTGGTGGGAAAGGATGGATCGGCTGGGGACACTTCGGAGGGGCCAGTATTACCGACAGTGCATCCCTGAGGGATCTGTCTGCAGAGTGGCGGCGGTCAGCAGCACGTGGGGCTGGAACCCAAGCCCCTGCAGTGGCCTCCCGCCTCTTCCTGGGAACTCGGACCCAGACAGATTAGGGCATCTCACAGGCCAAGGTCGCAGTTCCAGGCCTCTGGTAGGGGGTGGACGTCCTGTCCAATTCCAAGGGGGTGGGGCTTTGTGGGGTGAGCCAAGAGGGAGAGACTTGAGGCAGGGCATTGAAAGGCAGGGTTTGGGGAAAGGTTTGCTGAGGAGGTGGGCCTGCGAGTTACTGTACTAAGGGGCGGGGCTTTGGGAGGAGGCGGGGCTTCTTCGGGGGTGGGGAAGTGGGTGGGGTTTAGAGGGGACAGACTTGAGGATGCGCTCTGCGAGGGGGAGGAGCTTGGCGCCGGTGGTGGGTCTTTGAGGAGGCGGGGCTTTGGGGAACAAAACTGTGGGCGGAGTTTAGAGAGGTGGGTCCAGAGGTTGATGCAATGAGTGGTGGTGAAGGTTGGAGTAGGGGGCGGGGCTCTGGGAACGCGGTTGGGGGGTTCCAGGGGTGGGACCCTTGGTTAGAGAGCAGAGCGAGGTCTGGAGGATGCTCACTGAGGCTGTGGAGCTTGGAGATGGCCACACTCAGGGGGCGGGGCTTTGGGGTAAAGCCATGTGGGGCGGAGGTTGCAGGGAAGGTGTCAGTAAGGGTGACGCAAGAGGTGGTGGAACTTGGAACAGGCCTTGCTAGAGCGTTGAAGCGTTGAGATCTGGAGCGCTAAGGGGCCGGGCTTGGAAGGTGGAACCAAAGCTCTAGATGGAGCCGGGGGCGTGTGAGGTGTGAATCCTCACCAGGTGCCTGCTACCATTCCTCTCCCAGAACTGGAAGAGGCCCACCAGAAGTGCCCGCCATGGTGGTACAAGTGTGCCCACAAAGTGCTCATATGGAACTGCTGCGCCCCGTGGGTGAAGTTCAAGAACATCATCCACCTGATTGTCATGGATCCGTTTGTGGACCTGGGCATCACCATCTGCATCGTGCTCAACACCCTCTTCATGGCCATGGAGCATTACCCCATGACGGAGCACTTTGACAACGTGCTCACCGTGGGCAACCTGGTAGGGAGCGGCGGGGGAGAGGGATCATTCTTGGGCAGGATGGGAAGGGGTGGGGCCCAGGGTGGCTGTCTGGCTGTGTGCAAATATGGGGCATGGTGGGGGACACATGTGGACAGCTGGGGTTATTTTCCCAGCATATGGGGGCATGAGTTGATATGGAGGAGTACTTGGGGTGATCTGTGGTACACAGAAGTGGGGCTTCAGGATATTTGGGGGCAGGGAGAGTGAGGTGAGGTGCTGGGCTTCTTAAGGTCCAGACTGTTGAAGATCTGGGGTCTAGACCATGCCCTGGAAGCAGGGGTAAGGAAATGGGGGTATGGAGATAGGGATGAAGGGGCTAGGTGACAAGTCTGTCCACTTCCAGAAGTTGTCATGGGCCTGAAAGGAGCCAAGGGATCTGGCAGCGGGACCTATCACCCTGGCTTCCAAGGCGCAGTGGGCCCCAAGAGCTACTCCCCCAGCTCTCACCTATTTCTCCATTGTGGCCAGGATCCTCCCCTCTCCAGCCCTTTTCCGCTCCACTATTGTTGACACCACTGATCCACCCGCTTATCCGGGCCCATTAGGAGCATTATCACCTTGTTGCCAGCCCCAGAGGAGCCTGACAAAGGGAAAAGCCACCTCCTCCTCCAGCCCTGCCCCACCCTTCCCAATTCCCTTTGCAATTTTTCCAGGACAGCAAATGGGCAAGATGCTCCCCAACCCTGGAGGTTAGGGGAAGCCAGGAGAGAAAGATTTGGGGTCTAGGACAAGACCAGGGCTGGGTGGGTGCCACGAGAATCAAACCCTGGGCTCCCCAGCCTTCGAAGCAGGCATGTCTGTCCCATATAGCGGCTGAGGCAGCTGTGGCCATGCCAGGCTGGAGGGGCAAGGGTGTGCTCTGGACTTGTGACACAGCTGCTGGGTTGTGCGTGATGGACCGGGCCCGCCTGCCTGCCCACCCCCTGCCCACACTATGCTGCTGTCTTGGCACCTGCCGTGTCCAGAGACAGCCTCTGGGAGGGGCTCAGCATGTGCCTGGGCAGGCTGTGGACCAAGGGCAGCTGGTGCCTGGTAGGAGGGGGGCCGTGCCCAGGGAGCTTTCAGGGACTGTGCAATCCTCAGACCCCATGTCCAGGGTTGGCAGGGGCAGCTCTGCCTGCCTTCTCATTGATTTTGCTCCTTTTGGCCCCTGCCTTGGCAGACCTTTGAGTCCGCCAAGATTTGCCGGGTCCTGGGACTGGCCCCTGTGGAGAGGGTGTGGGCACAGAGTCAGGATGCTGAACTGAGCCCCTGAGAACTGGGCTTGAGATGTGGCTCGTTCCCATGTGGGTGCTGTGATGCCAGCTAGCTGTCTAGCTTGCTGAGCCTCAACTGCTCATGCATGGAATGCATGTGAGATCCCTCCCCATGTTGTAGAGATCAGGATACTAATGAGGTCATAAAGTGAACCACAGAGCACCCTGCAAACATTAAATATTATGACAGAGTTGGGGCTCCAAGCAGTGAAGTGCCTTGCCCACTGTCATGAGGCCAGAAATGGATGGGAGTCGGTCTCAGAGTTGTACCCACCTCTGCCCTATGGCTTGACCATTGCCTCCATCACTCACACACACACGGGACATGTATGCCACTCCTGCCCCTTTCAGGGCTCTGGACCCCCTTCCCCTCGGCTCCTGAAGCCTCTGCCAGGAGGTGAGTGTTGGGTGGGAGACTCCGAGGGCCCTGGGTTCCCCAAGGCTCTGTGACAGGGCCTCACCTTACCACCCCCCAGGTCTTCACGGGCATCTTCACAGCAGAGATGGTTCTGAAGCTGATCGCCATGGACCCCTATGAGTACTTCCAGCAGGGCTGGAACATCTTCGACAGCATCATCGTCACCCTCAGCCTGGTAGAGCTAGGCCTGGCCAACGTACAGGGGCTGTCTGTGCTCCGCTCCTTCCGTCTGGTACTCGAAAGCCCCTTGGACAGGAGCTGGGATGGGGGTGGGCTGGGCAGACTAAGGAGGGTGGGCATAGGGTTGGGGGGAGAAACCCCAGGAAGCCAGAGGGCTGAAAACAAGGCCCTCTCTGCCTGTGCACACCTGTTACCTCTCAGAACCTTTCTAACCTGTAAAACAGGGAAAAGGAGTGCCCTCTCTCCTTTCACAGGGCTGCTGGGGGGGACCGAAGTGACAGAAGCCAACACTGAGTTTGATTCTTTAATGACCTTGGGCTGCAGTGGAGCAGGAACTCCAGCCCCATTCTGCAGACCTGGAAACGGAGGCTCTGCAAGTTCATTAGGAGTAGGAGTGGGACCTCGGAACTTGTGTCTTTCCACCACCCCATAAGGAGCACTGCTATTCTTTTTCAAACTTTATCGGCTGGGCACAGTGGCTCATGCCTATAATGCCAATACTTTGGGAGGCCGAGGCAGGTGGATCACCTGAGGTCAGGAGTTCAAGACCAGCCTGGCCAACATGGTGAAACCCCGACTCTACTAAAAATACAAAAATTAGCTGTGCATGTGGCAAGCACAGCTGTAACTGTAGTCTCAGTTACTTGGGAGGCTGAGGCAAGAGAATTGCTTGAACCCGGGAGGTGGAGGTTGCAGTGAGCTGAGATGGCACCACTGCATTCCAGCCTGGGTGACAGAGTGAGACTTCATCTTAAAACAACAACAAACTTTATCAAGGGACCTTTCATGCGTGCACCAAAGTATAGAGAAAGTATAATGAACCTCCAGTACCCCTCACCCAGGTTCAACAACCACAACAACATTCTACATTTCCTGTTGCATCTGTCCCCCAATTTTTATTATGAAAGCAAATTCCAACATATAATTTCACTTGTAAATACTTTAGTCTGTTTTTTTTTTTAAGGCAGGGTCTCTCACCCAGGCTGGAGTGCAGTGGCACAATCACTGCTCGCTGCAGCCTCGATCTCCCCAGGCTCAAGTGACTCTCCCACCTCAGCCTCCTGCATAGCTGGGACCACAGGCACACAGCACCACGCCTAGCTAATTTTTGTATTTTTTGTAGGTCAGGGTTTCGCCATGTTGCCCAGGCTGGTCTCCAACTCCTAGGCTCAAGTGATGCACCTGCTTCAGCCTCCCAAAGTGTTGGGATTACAGGTGTGAGCCAGGGCTCCGGCCATAGTCTGTATCTTTAACAGATAAGGACTTTTCTTTTCTTTTTCTTTTCCTTTTTTTTTTTTTTTTTTTTTGAGATGGAGTCTGGCTCTGTAGCCCAGGCTGGTGTGCAGTGGTGCAATCTCCACTCACTGCAATCTCAATCTCCCAGGTTGAAGCGATTCTCCTGCCTCAGCCTCCTGAGTAACTGAGATTACAGGCACCTACCACCATGTGCAGCTAATTTTTTGTATTTTTAGTAGAGATAGGATTTCACCATGTCAGCCAAACTGGTCTTCAACTCCTGAGCTCAAGTGATCCACTCACCCCGGCTTCCCAAAGTGCTGGGATTACAGGCGTGAGCTACTGCGCCCAGCCTGGACTTGTTTTCTTTTTACCGCATGAAGGGCCTGAGGTGGTAGGATGAGTGTTTCCGTTTAACAGAAGGGCAAACTGAGGACTCAGTTTGTGCAGGGGGTTGGGGATCCAAGCTGCTCGACACTGTTCTTTCTCCTAAGTCTGGGGCTGCCTTGGGTGGTGGTCCCTGGGCCTCATTCGCCCTTGCCCTCCCCGGTCTGGCAGCTGCGGGTCTTCAAGCTGGCCAAGTCGTGGCCGACACTGAACATGCTCATCAAGATCATCGGCAACTCTGTGGGGGCGCTGGGCAACCTGACGCTGGTGCTGGCCATCATCGTGTTCATCTTCGCCGTGGTGGGCATGCAGCTTTTTGGCAAGAGTTACAAGGAGTGCGTGTGCAAGATCGCTTCGGACTGCAGCCTGCCGCGCTGGCACATGCACGATTTCTTCCACTCTTTCCTCATCGTCTTCCGCATCCTGTGCGGGGAATGGATCGAGACCATGTGGGACTGCATGGAGGTGGCCGGACAAGCCATGTGCCTCACCGTCTTTCTCATGGTCATGGTCATCGGCAACCTTGTGGTGAGTGAGGCTGGCTGGGTGGCCCCTGACCCTGTCTGAGAAGTGTACAAGACATGCCTGATATTTGACTGTTTTCTTTTTTCTTTCTTTTTTTGGAGATAGAGTTTCACTCTTGTTGCCCAGGCTGGAGTACAATGGTGCTATCTCGGCTCACCACAACCTCCACCTCCCAGGTTCAAGTGATTCTCCTGCCTCAGCCTCCCAAGTAGCTGGGATTATAGGCATGTGCCACCATGCTTGGCTAATTTTGTATTTTTAGTAGAGATGGGGTTGGTCAGGCTGGTCTCAAACTCCCGACCTCAGGTGATCCACCCACCTCAGCCTCCCAAAGTGCTGGGATTACAGGTGCGAGCCACCGAGCCCAGCATGTTTGACTGTTTTCTATCTCCCCAGCACATCCTCTCCAAAATGGCAATTTTATGTGGTTGAACCCAGTAGTTCTCAAATTTTAAACTGTGTAAGAATCACCTAGGAATTACATAAACCATAGATCCTGGCACCACCCCCAGAGTGTCTGATTCAGCAGCTCTGGGTCTAGGCCTGGGGATCTGCGTTTCTGACAGATCAGTGGATGCCAATGCTGGCTCTGGGACCACGCTGTGAGTAGCGCTGTTGGAACCTAACGTTTTGAGTAAAGCAACCTGATAATGAGTCAGACAGACCCACATTCCAGTCCCAGCTCCTTTGCCATCATTTGTGTGACCTTGAGCTAATTGCTGCTCTCTAGTCAGGCTGGATTCTCTAATCTTCACATAGAAGACAAACAACAGGGACCTCCTGGGGTTACTGCAAAGATGATGCCATAGTATATCCAAAGCCACAGTGTTGTGGGAGAACCTGAGCCTCTTGGCTTTCTCCCAGCCTCTTGACCTCCTCTGCTCTAGAGCCTATGGTCCAAGCTGTGAAAAGAGAATCAGGCTGGATGTGGTGGCTTATGCCCGTAGTCCCACCACTTTGGGAGGCCAAGGTCAGAAGTTTAAGACCAACTGGGCAACATAGCAAGGCACCCCCCCCACTATAAAAAATGGAAAAATGAAAAAGTAGCTAGGCATGGTGACATACACCAAACCCAGCTACTTGGGAGGCTGAGGTAGAAGCTGGTTTGAGCCCTGGTCTTTGAGGCTGTAGTAAGCTATGATCCCGCCACTGTACTCCAACCTGGGGGGGGGCAGAGTGAGACCCGCATCTCTAGAAAACAAAAAAAGAAACAGGTGCAGGTATTGGGAAAATGCAGAGATGGCATAAACTGTATTTCTTCTGCTGCTTGCCGTGGCTCAGGACTTGGCGTGTGGGGCTGGTGCAGGGGAAGGGGCCAGGAGGTGAGAGCCAGGGTGTAGGGCTGTGGTCCAGCTGGCCAGGGCCATGGGAGGTGACCCTGACTCCTCCCCTTCTTGGGGTGGCAGTGGATGTCACTGCTGCCAGAGCCCTGCAGTGCTGTGCCTACCTGCCCCCTATGGTGCCTGGCACTGCCCTGGGCAACAGGGACTGGGAAGATGCCTGTCCCCATGTTTCCCAAAGGCCTATGGAATCCCTGAGCTGTGGGGACAGTACTTCTCAGATATCACTGGTCTCCGGCTGGGGGCACCACGCAGAGGGGGAAAGGGGTGTCACCTTGGCTGCTAGAGAAGACCGTGCTACAGCTACAGAGGAGAACCCAGGCCTGCTGTCCCTGAAAGGAGGGTCTTGGAGTGTGGGGAGAGAGAGGAAAGGTGCCTAGACCTAACTTTAGGGCAGGACTGGGGATGGGGACAGCAGACCCTGAGTAGGAGTTTGTAGATATAAGTCTAAGGATTTGGGAGTGACTGAGTCTACAGGGGGTTGCTGTCTCTGCAGTAACTCAAAATTATGTTCCAAGCCCCCACTTTGCCACTCACTAACTGGAAAACCTTGAGCCCATTATTTAACCCCTTTGGGCCTCAGTTTTCCCATCTGGAAAATGGGGATGATAGTGAGGATGACTCTTCCACTGGGTGGTCGAGAGGATTATATGATGCATGCGCTTGCAGGTCTTACCAAAGTGCCTGGCCACGTGGCTGGGGGTGCAGGTGTTGCAGGCATGCGGCGGGGCAGTGCTGGTTTAGGTTCCTACCACCAGGGTGATGCTCCTGCACTGGTAGTGGGGCCCCTACTGTGTGTCAGTCCCTGCACTAAGGGCTGTACGGTCATGGTCCCTAATCCTCGCAGCCACCCCATGAGACAGGTAATGTTATTTCCACACTCTCGGGGAGGCCTGTCCAGAACCACACAACTAGTGAGAAACAGAGCTGGTACTGGAACTGGGTCCGTACAACTCCAGTAACACTAACATCAATGATAAGAGTATCGTAATAACGATAACGTTAGCACCAACAGAAGGGTGCTGATGGCTGACATTTATTTAGCATTTACCTAGCATTCTGGGTGCTTTGTGTGTATTCATTTCGCCTCCTCCTCACACCCACCTGTGAGGGTTTGCCAGATCATCTGTTTTATAGATGACAAAGCAAAGGCTCAGGGAGGTGAATCTGTCCCATGTGCAGGATGGGAGTCCCTGTGGTCTGGCTGCAGAATCTAGAACCAGCGCACATCCTGCTTCCATGTGCCTGTCACCCCCATCACACAGACACGCGCACACACACCATGACATCCTTTCCCAGTCCAGCTCTGTGGCTCTCCCAGTTTGCTCAGAGGGAGTGGAGCAGCCCAGGGAGGCAGCACTGTCAGCTCCTTGGGCACTGCCCCTCCCACCACCTCCCCAGGCTTCAGAGAAGCAGGTGTTTGCCAGAGGCCACCAGGGCACCCTGCCAGAGAGTGTGAAGACCCGCGTCCCCTGCGCCCATGGCACTTGATCACTTCCTGTGGGCAACTGTGAAGAAGAGGAAGTGACTAGGTTGCCAGTAACCCAAAGCACAGAACCCCCAGGGAAATTGATGTCGGCCCCCTCCCCTCCCTGCCCTCCCCCTGCCTAGAGCAGCTATTTCTGTCTTGGGCAGGAGCCGTGTGCAAACCCTGCTGACCCAGAGAGCAGCTAATTCCCATCTCAGATGTGTTTCTGGCAACTGGATGCCTCCCCCTAAGAGAGGGAGAAGAAAGACTAATGTGTTTTGGTTGGGGACAAAAGCAGCAAAGCTGTCAGGGGACATGGCGGGGAGGAGGGGAGCCGCAGAATTTCTCCCAGCACGTTCTCTCAAAGAGGGCTTTAAGATATTTTGTAAAGAGAGTATATGAACATGATTAACAAAATATAATCAATAGAATATAGTGAAGACAATGACGAGAAGAACTTGGAGGAGGCTGGAGAAAGCCAGCAGTGAGCCCTGCCAAGAAGACGGCCAAGGGTGGCGGATCCTCAAGTGCAGGCTCCCCACCCACAACGTACTCCACTCCCCCAGGACTCCCGGCTATGCTTCTGACTGACAGGAGCCAGGACCCTCACCCCAGACTGGATTCCCCTTCCTCCACTGCCCAGGGCCAGGTGGACTGGTAGAAGGAAGGGCGACCACATTGCAGAACTTCAGGGCTGCCATTCACCTTGTAGTCTAAGTGAATGATGCCGTTTAAAGCTGTACGATGACTGGGAGCCTGGTTCTAGTTCTGGCTAAGCCATGTGTCCTAGGGCAAGCCACGCCACCTCTCTGGAACTGTTTCCTCACCTATAAAATGCTGAACTGGCCTCAGAGTTAATCACACTCTTCCTTACACCTTGCATAGCCAGCCTTCCTTCCTTCCTTTCTCTTTTTTTGGAGGTGGGCAGGGGCGGGGGGCAGGGTCTTGCTCTGTCACCCAGGCTGGAATACAGTGGCACGATCTGGGCTCACTGCAACCTCTGCCTCCCGTGTTCAACTGATTCTTCTGCCTCAGCCTCCCAAGTAGCTGGGATTATAGGTGCATACCACCACGCACAGCTAACTTTTCTATCTTTAGTAGAGACGGAGTTTCCCCATGTCAGCCAGGCTGGAGCACCTTGTATAGCTTTCTGTTATTCCGAACATAATTAATAGCCAACATGTGTTGAGTTCCTACTGCGTGCTCTACTTGTACTGATTTTTTTTTTTGAGACAGAGTCTTGCTCTGTCACTCAGGCTAGAGTGCAATGGCCCCATCTCAGCTCACTGCAACCTCTGCAGGCACCCGCCACTATGCCTGGCTAATTTTTTGTATTTTTATAGAGATGGGGTTTCTCTGTGTTAGCCAGGATGGTCTCAATCTCCTAACCTTGTGATCCGCCTCCCTTGGCCTCCCAAAGTGCTGGGATTACAGGCGTGAGCCGCTATGCCTGGTCTTGTATTGATCTTTTAATCCTCACAGCAATGGGAGGAGCAGTGGCATCATCTCCATTTTGCAGATGAGGAAACTGAGGCACAGCACAGTGAAGCGAATTGCCTCAGAGCACACAGCTAATAAACTGGGGTTCAGAGCTCTGCAATACAGTTTCAAAAGCTATGCACCCCAGTCTCTGCTGCCCCAAACCCACAGTATTGCGTGTGTCTGATCCGCTCTCCGTGTCTGCTGGGCTGTGAGCTCCCTGAGGCCATTCATGTAGTGTCAGGGGCTCCGAAAATGTCTGTCCACTGGAAAATAAAATGGGTGGGGGTGCTGGGGGAAGAGCAGTAGCCTCTTAAGCCTCTTTCCATAGGAATGTGGGATGAGAACCAGAATAGATGGAGTCGGAAAACCCCAGAGGAGAAAAGAGGGTAAATAGTAGGTCAGATGGCCCTTCCAGAGCAGTGGGGGCCAGGTTTCTGCACACCAGGAGCACAGGGTCTATTAAAGTCCCATTTAACAGAGGAAGAAAAGAAGGCACAAAAGATTAAGGTTCCCAGTAAGTCCTGGAAGCTTGGCAACTTGAGCCCAGTTCTTTGTTCTGCGTCCTCCAGGAGTGGAGATAAAGGACAGTCATGGGCAGGGCGCGGTGGCTCATGCCTCTAACCCCAGCACTTTGGGAGGCCAAGATGGGCAGATCACCTGAGGTCAGGAGTTCAAGACCATCCTGGGCAACATGTTGAAACCCTGTCTCTACAAAAAATACAAAGATTACCTTGGCATGGTGATGCAGGCCTGTAATCCCAGCTACTTGGGAGGCTGAGGTAGGAGGATCACTGGAACTTGGAGGTGGAGGTTGCAGTGAGCAGAGATCATGCTGCTGCACTCCAGCCTGGGCAACAGAGCAAGACTCCATCTCAAAAAAAAAAAAAAAAGGACAGTCATGGAGAGAGTCCCTATCCCTCATCAGGCCTTCCTAAACTCTGCCTCTGACCTGGGTAACAGAGTCCTCTCAGAGCCCCAAGCCTCAGTTTCCCCAGCTGCAGAAGGGATAATAACCATCACCTCCACGAGCAGTTGTGAACACCTCTTAGGTGGCGTTCTTTTAAATGTTCAACATGTAGAAGTTCTGATCTGTAGGCCGAGGACCTCTGTGCTGGCTGAAGGTGGCACCCTCTGGGTCCCAGGGACTGATGTGAGGCTCCCCCCAACCCCATGTTCCAGGTCCTGAACTTGTTCCTGGCTCTGCTGCTGAGCTCCTTCAGTGCTGACAGCCTGGCAGCCTCGGATGAGGACGGTGAGATGAACAACCTGCAGATTGCCATCGGGCGAATCAAGTGGGGCATCAGCTTTGCCAAGGCCTTCCTCCTAGGGCTGCTGCATGGCAAGATCCTGAGCGCCAAGGACATCATGCTCAGCCTTGGGGAGCCTATTGGGGCCGGGGAGGCTGGAGAGGCTGGGGAGACTGCCCCTGAGGATGAGAAGAAGGAGCCGCCTGAGGAAGACCTGAAGAAGGACAATCACATCCTGAACCATGTGGGCCTGGCTGATGGTCCCCCATCCAGCATCGAGCTGGACCACCTCAACTTCATCAACAACCCCTACCTGACCATCCAGGTGCCCATCGCTTCCGAGGAGTCCGACCTGGAGATGCCCACTGAGGAGGAAACCGACACTTTCTCGGAGCCTGAGGATGGCAAGGTGAGCCAGGCCGGGGGCTCAGACAGATTCGGCTTCTCATTCTCCTGTGACCTTGAGCAAGTTCTGAGTCCTCTCCGAGCCCCAGTTTCTACAGCTATAAAATGGGGGTGGTGCCCTGTGGCATTGTTGCAAGCGTTATGTGGGACGCTGTATGTAAAGCATGCCATCAGTGCCCTGTGAGTGGCGGCTGTCACTATCGTTATTGATGTGGTTATTATGATTGGCCCTGCCTGTCCTGAAACCCTCTGTTCATGCCTGTCCCAGAATGCCCCCTGGGCCCCTCTCACCAGCAGGTGGTGCTCTTGGACATGCTGTTCTTACCTGGCACTGCAGGACCAGGATCCCAGAGGCCTCTCTTAACGTTCTCCTCTGGGCTTAAAGTCCCTTGCCCAGTCCTCACATTTATCCTCTATCTGTGTTTAGACCCCACCTGCGGCTGCTCCCAACCTCCCAGTGTGAGCCAAGGTGCCAGATCCAGGCAGGGGACTCAGGAGAGGAGCCAGGGGGCCAACAGGAGTTGGTGACAAGGAGAGCAGAAGCCTCAGGCAGGAGCTCTGACCCTTCAGCCATGGGGGACCTGCTGCTGGGTTCAGTTGCCCCTCCTCACCCCTCCACTTCAAGGGCAAGGAAGAGACAGGAACTCAGTGGTGGTCACCCCCAGCAGCTGGGGCTGAGCTGAGACCCTCTCTGAGTCTTGAGTCCCCTTCCCCACCTGCAGCTCTGGCAGTGAAAGGACTCGCACAGAAGCTAGGATGGGGGCACCTGCCCACCCCTGCGCCATCAGCCTGAGCCCAATGAACTTTGCCCTGAAAGCTTTTGACTCCTTATCCCCCCCCAAATATGTGGCATGCTGGCTTACCGGGGGCTGAGTGCCTATGAGCTATAAATACCCGGGCAAGACCTCGGTATGAGGCACTCAGGTGGTAGGTGGGGGGTGGGGTGGGGCGGGGAGGTGGGGGCTGGAGAGTACCAAAATCTCAGGCTCCATGGGGCTGGGGCCTGGGGACTTGCTCAAGGAGGGCGAGCCCTGCTTCAAGGGCAATTTTGGGAGTTTGATGCACATTTGGGGCAACTCAGTGGATGCCCTAGCTGACCTAACATTCTGTGCCTCAGTTTCCCTTATCAACTGAAAGCAAGGACCCACTTGTGGTAGTTTTCTGGTCACCACTCTGAATACAGAGCTGCCCCCTTAGTTGCCATCTTCTTCCTTCCCTTCAGGGCCTCACCCTCAGCCTTGAAGGGGTCCCCTGCCGGGTGGAGGCTGGGGCCGGGAAGCTGGCCTGGCCCAGCAGCAGGAGGTGGGAGGAGACCTGGCTCAGCCTCCCCGACTCCCGCCCCCAACGCTGATCAGGTTCCCTTGGCTCAGGATGGAGGCTTTGGCTGGGGAACATTTTCCACCCTTTCTGGATTCCTCAGCCAAACAGACCCTGGGTGTGGGAAGGCTCAGACGCTAGGGGCACCACACACCCAGTCTGGCTCCATCCTGACCCCTTTTCATACCTCTGTCCCCTCAGGGCTACCTTCAGGATCCCCACGCCTCCCACACCCCCACTCGGGCCAGGGTCCCCACCTCCTCCCTTATCCCAGGGCTTCGCATGTGTACTCATGCCCTCACTGTCCCTTCCCAGGCATCAGTCCTGCCCCACTCCTTATGTAAGTGCTGTGCGGGTATAACGAGAGCCGCCTATGTCTCCATGATTCCTCAACCATCCAGGGCTGGCTGAATGAATGAATGAATGAATGAGTTTGCTCCTTCTTCTCTGCTTCCCTTCCCTGCTGGTCTCACATCCTGCCCCATCTGGTGGGAGGATGAGAGGGTCTCTCAGGGACCCAGGGGTCACGTGACACTGTGGCCTCTGCAGAAGCCACCACAGCCCCTCTACGACGGGAACTCCTCCGTCTGCAGCACTGCTGACTACAAGCCCCCTGAGGAGGACCCTGAGGAGCAGGCAGAGGAGAACCCCGAGGAGCAGCCTGAGGAGTGCTTCACCGAGGGTGAGAGCACCCCCCCACCTCACCTGGGTATCTCCCCCAGGCCTGCACCCCTGCAAGGGGCAGGCTACACCAGGGCCAGAAGCACACGAACCAGGGGCTGCCAGGCCAGCCCCCGTGCCTTGCAGGCCTAGGACTATTGGCAATGTGCACTCAGAGCTGTGGCACATCCATGCAGAGCCCTTGGTGCAGGCCTGGCTTGGAGCGAACGTGCAGGAGTGCAGGTGTCAGCTGCCTAGATCCTCCTCCTCCTTATCCTCCCCTCCATCTTCAGGGATCGAGGCCTTCAGGACATAGCCCTGGAGAAATGTCCTTGTCCGTAGAGCCTGCTGGGCTGCACAGGATGGAGATGGCCTGGGCGAGGTGGGGGGTGGGGTGGGGTGGCTGAGAGCGGCAGCACGGGGAGGGGGGCCAGGACACCTTTCCTCTGCATGCCCACCTCCAGCAGCAGTTGTCACATGGTGGATGGGGCTGTGGAGGGAGGCCCGGAGCCGAATGTGAGCCAGATGGAGCTGGGTGAGGGAGGAAGTGGGGGCCCTGGAGAGGGGCATCCTGGGACGCTACGGGAGGGTGCTGACTGTGCACCCCAAGGCAGCCCCAGGCCCCTGATGTGGTGCCTGTCCCTGTCCCCCATCAGCCTGCGTGCAGCGCTGGCCCTGCCTCTACGTGGACATTTCCCAGGGCCGAGGGAAGAAGTGGTGGACTCTTCGCAGGGCCTGCTTCAAGATTGTCGAGCACAATTGGTTCGAGACCTTCATTGTCTTCATGATCCTGCTCAGCAGCGGGGCTCTGGTAGGCACCACCTGGGAGCACGGGGCAGGGGCAGGGGCCAGGCCTGCAGCAGGCCTTCCGGGGGCTCCCTGTCTCCACACACAGGAAGGGCCATGCCCTGGTCAGTCCCAAACCCTGAGAACCCTAAAGGAACTCACTGTGCTTCTGGGATATGTTATAGAATGTGCTGACTCTTAACATGGCAGAGGTGCCTCCCTTGTTTCATGGGCACTGACTTTTGTGCACACCCTGCCGATGGGGAGGCGGGAGGGCCCTGGGAACTAGGGGTGCATGTGGGGTGCAGAACTGAAGATGTGTCACTGTGGACCCGCCCAGCAGATGATTGTAATTTGCTGTTTTTGGGCTTGAGGAAGGAGGGCTGAGAGACTTCTCCCCACCGAGAAATACGCTCATCCCCATGATGGATGGTGGGAGTCCAGGAGATGTGGACAGCCTGTCCCCTGGGCTGGCCCCCACAGTAGACCCCCGGGAACCAGCAGCATCTAGCAAGGCAGGGGATGTGGCTGCTGTCCCTGCCTGCTGGACCCCAGCCTGCTGGACCCCTGGCGACCCTGGTGGTGCTGGTGCCCCCAGGCCTTCGAGGACATCTACATTGAGCAGCGGCGAGTCATCCGCACCATCCTCGAATATGCCGACAAAGTCTTCACCTACATCTTCATCATGGAGATGCTGCTCAAATGGGTGGCCTATGGCTTCAAGGTGTACTTCACCAATGCCTGGTGCTGGCTCGACTTCCTCATCGTGGACGTGAGTCCCCCCGACATCGGCCCCCTGTCAACATGGCAAGGACCTTAGGAATCCCAGGCCCTGAAGGGCAGGACCTGCCTGTGGCAGACCCTTGATCAGTGCTGCCCTTCTCAGACACAACTGCCTAGGAGGGGAATAGGGACTGGGAGGCCTTCCCTTCTCCTCAGGGGAAGGAGGCCTTGGGGGAGGACAGAGGGCAGGAGGGCTACTTACCATCGCTGCCAATAGGAGTGGAAGAGTTTCTTACTGTATACATTTTATTTATTTATTTTCAAGATTGTTGCCCAGGCTGGTCTTGAATTCCTGGGCTCAAGCAATCCTCCTCCTACCTCGGCCTCCCAAAGTGCTGGGACTATAGGCATGAGCCATCACACCTAGCCAGGAGTGGAGGATTTTCTTTTTTTCTTTTTTTTTTTTTTGGAGATGGAGTCTTGCTGTCACCCAGGCTGGAGTACAGTGGCAATATCGCCCCTCACTGCAATCTCCACCTCCTGGGTTCAAGCGATTCTCCTGCCTCAGCCTCCCAAGTAGCTGGGATTACAGGTGCCCACCACCACGCCCCACTAAATTTTGTTTTGTTTTGTTTTTAAGTAGAGACAGGGTTTTGCCATGTTAGTCAGGCTGATCTGGAACTCCTGACCTCGGGTGATCCACCCGTTGCAGCCTCCCACAAGTGTGAGCCACCGCACCTGGCGAGTAAAAGATTTTCTTACCCTCTTAGATAGGCTCATGGGCCTCTCGAGGGAGTCGGGTACCATCCCTCCCACTTACGGCCATCCCCAGTTAGTTGACATCACTGAGGTGGCGCCTGGGCTCCTACAGGTGCTGGGACAGGTCCCAGGGCTGCTCTTCCCAACAGACAGGACCACCCACTAGGGAGAGGATCTATGGGAGACAGCCAGGAGCTGTGAGTCCAGGAAGACCCCGTTGCCTGGGCTTGAGGGGAGGCTGGGGCCTTGCACGCACTGACCCCCCCACCCCACCTCTCCCCTGCAGGTCTCCATCATCAGCCTGGTGGCCAACTGGCTGGGCTATTCGGAGCTGGGACCCATCAAATCCCTTCGGACACTTCGGGCCCTGCGTCCCCTGAGGGCACTGTCCCGATTCGAGGGCATGAGGGTGGGTGCTGAAGGGGCCTCTGGGGTGGCTGGGGATTTGGGATCGGGCCAATCTCAGGGCAGGGTGGAGGGTGCATGTCTATACTCCAGCCACCACCAGGGGGAGGCAGAGAGCTTAGACCTGCGGCCCTGCCTGAGGCCAGGTCTGGCCCTCACCTCCCCAGCTGTCCTCCCTGCAGCCCATCTTCTGTCTGCCCCATTCCCGCCCTCAGCCCTCAATCCAGCCTGCCCTTAGCTTACCTCTGCCACTACTTGGGGGCAACAGAGGCTGCAGAAGCTCCCAGGAGGGCCCCAGGCCACGGAAGAGAAAGAAGGAAGGCAGATTTATGTGGTGTTTATGGGTGGTTTACAAGTGGGTTTATGGGTGGCTCTCCCAGCCTCAGACTCAGCCACCCAGAGCTCTGAAACAAGGTGCCTGCACCCTGGCTCTGAGTCTCCCCTCACCCCCCACTGACGAGCTTGGCTTCTCAGTCAGGGCCATGCCCTTGAGCTTGGGGTGACTTTGGGGAAGATCTGCTCAGGCCCTGGAGAGCAGAAGTGTCAGATAAACACAGGGTTGGGGCAAGAAAAATAGGATTTCCCCGGGAAGGGAGGCCTGCCAGGAGCAAGACCTGCTCCAGTGGGACAGATGACTGCAAATCCATAGGCCATGACGAGCCCACCCAAGCAGCCCCCTCCTGTCCCTGCCAGGGGCCAGCTGAATGCTGGGCCCTCTGACCCCCAGAGCCAGTGAACCCTCCCACTGAGGGGAAACAAGCTGCCTGTGGCCACACAGCTGGTTGGTGCCCCAGCCAGGAATAGAGCTCCCCTGGGTACCACCAGGCTGTGCTACCCGCTCTGGAAGTCATGAAATGGCTCCTCCTTAAAAAGAGCAGGGTCTCAGATCCAGCCCAGTGTGCAGTGGTTGGGTGGGCTGTGTGACCAGGGCTGGTGGGGGCAAGGCTTCAGTCCCAGGGTTCCTGCTGCTACAGAGATCCTGCTGCCCTCTTTTCTGTGCCTGTGTTTGGGTCTCTGGGGCTGAGAACCCATAAGCAGGGGCTGGGTCACGTGGGCTGAGTTTCCTATGGGGGCTGAGCAAAGAGTGTTTGTCTCCTGCCTGGTGACCCGTGACTAGGCTGCTTCCAGAGAAACCCAGCACCCCGACTCTGGACTGATGGCTCCAGCCAAGCAGAGAGCCCTCCTGAGCACCAGACCTGCCGTTCCCTACCCCACCCCCTCACTGCCCCCCACCTGCACACATACAGCCCAGCAGATTGGCCCTCCTCTAGGAAGCCCTCCCTGATTGACAATGCCCAGCTCTGCCTGGTCCCCTGGGTGGCATGGAGATGGGGAGCCCTCTCTCAGAGGCTGGGAGAGGCACTGGCAATGAACACCCCCCTGGCCCCCAGGTGGTGGTGAATGCCCTCCTGGGTGCTATCCCCTCCATCATGAACGTGCTGCTCGTCTGCCTCATCTTCTGGCTGATCTTCAGTATCATGGGTGTCAACCTGTTTGCCGGCAAGTTCTACTACTGCATCAACACCACTACCTCTGAGAGGTTCGACATATCCGAGGTCAACAACAAGTCTGAGTGCGAGAGCCTCATGCACACGGGCCAGGTCCGCTGGCTCAACGTCAAGGTCAATTATGACAACGTGGGTCTGGGCTACCTCTCCCTCTTGCAGGTGGTGAGTGTGACCCACTGCCCCAGCCAGGGATGGAGGTGCCCCCTCCCCGGTCCCTCCCACCCCAGCCTCTCTCATGATACCTTGTTAGGGGACCTCCCACCCTGCTTCCAATGCTGTGGGACCTCCAGGCAGTGTCTGGGTCTCTGGTCGTTATTTGATGCTTGCCCAGAGCGGCTCAGACAGGCGGCCTCTGGCAGGGGAGGACCAGGTTGGGTGGGGGAGGGAAACTCATGGATGATGGATGCAGGGAGGAGCCCCCACCCCGCCTCGCTCACTCCCCAACCACTTTCTCAGGCCACCTTCAAGGGCTGGATGGACATCATGTATGCAGCTGTGGACTCCCGGGAGGTGAGTCCTGGCAGGCTGGGGGTTAGATGGGTCCTGCCCTCCGGGCTGTGGGGGGCAGGGAGAAGCCAGCATAGGCACCCACGCCATCCCCCCTGTGCCCCCGCAGAAGGAGGAGCAGCCGCAGTACGAGGTGAACCTCTACATGTACCTCTACTTTGTCATCTTCATCATCTTCGGCTCCTTCTTCACCCTCAACCTCTTCATCGGCGTCATCATTGACAACTTCAACCAGCAGAAGAAGAAGATGAGTATCAGCCCAGCCCCCCCAGGCCCTCCCCACACCGGGCCTCCCTCCTGCCTCCCATGTCCATTCTCTCCTATGCAAACCCACAAACGCTGCCTGAGCACCCACCAGGCTGTTGGTTCACGCAGCTAGCTTGGGTCTCAGCCCCACCAGGGGACCTTGAACAAGTGACTTGGCCTCTGTGAACCTCAGTTTCCTTATCTGTAAAATGAGGCTGCTACAACCTGCCTTGTGGGTTACTCTAGGTCTCAGCCAAATATTGATGAAAAGTGGCCAGAAACAAGCTGAAGGACAGCATTGATCCCCACTCCCCTTCCCACCCTTCTCTGGACCAGTAATCCCTCTCGGTCCCCCATTCTCCCCTTGTCCCTCCATCTCTGACCCTTCCAGATCCCCACCTTCCTCCAGGCTGATCCACAGGGATCCTCTGTGCCTGAGGTAGTGGGGTTCAGGAGGCAGGAAGAGGGACCCCACCCCAAGCTAACAAGCCCTATCTCACTATACTTTGGAGGGAAAGACATCTTTATGACAGAGGAACAGAAGAAATACTATAATGCCATGAAGAAGCTCGGCTCCAAGAAGCCTCAGAAGCCAATTCCCCGGCCCCAGGTACCACCCTTCTGGGTCCCCGGTCCTGTGTGCAGTACCAGGCTCCTGCCTAGGGGACAGATGGGGGTAAAAGGTTGCCTGCCATCCACCCACCAAGCTGTGTCCCTGGGTGAGGCTGGGTCCACCCCAGGGGCAGGGTCCTTGGTCTACCTGTAGGGAGGGATGCCTCTTTATAGTGCCACAGAGACACCGTGTGCACAGAGGCTATCCACGGAACTCCAGTGGCTGCTTCACCCTCACCTAGCCCTGCACAGCCCCTCAGTGCCCATCTACCTCCCACCTGGGACCTCAGTGGCCTCTGGGGCAAAGGCCCCCACAAGGTGGGTAAGAAGAGGATATCCAGATACCCTCCCCAGAAGCAATGACTTGGGGAGAAAGAGGAGGAACATCTAGGGACCTTGAAGGGAAGAAGGGTTCCCAGGGGAGGAGGGAGGTCCATGAACCCCATAAAATGACCTGGTCCCAGACCTGTCATGATCTGATGGGTCACCTTTCCTCCCCTGGCTGACTCCACCACAAGCCCCTCTCTTTCCCTTTCTCTCTCTCTCTCTCTTTCTCTGTCTCTCTGTCTGTCTGTCTCTGTCTCTCCCCCTCCCCGCACCGACTATGCTGTGTGCCATCCTTCCTGTATCTCCTGCCTGTTCACACCCTGCCTGGGCCTGGCCACCGACTCCCCCACGTCTGTCCCTTCCCACCCATGCTGCAGAACAAGATCCAGGCCATGGTGTATGACCTCGTGACGAAGCAGGTCTTCGACATTACCATCATGATCCTCATCTGCCTCAACATGGTCACCATGATGGTGGAGACAGATGACCAGAGCCAGCTTAAGGTGGACATCCTGTACAACATCAACATGATCTTCATCATCATCTTCACAGGGGAGTGTGTGCTCAAGATGCTTGCCCTGCGCCAGTACTACTTCACCGTTGGCTGGAACATCTTTGACTTCGTGGTTGTCATCTTGTCCATCGTGGGTGAGTGGGGAGGGCCTGGCTGGCAGGGCAGCCCTGAGATGAGGCCCTCAGGAAGACCCATCCTCGTGCACACACACCTGCCCCTGCACCCCCACATGCTCACCTAGACACACACCTGAGCGTGCCTGCCACTCATTCTCAACACACAAAGGCACATGGGCGTGCGCACAGGCAGGTTGTCACCTGTGCACACATGGGTGCCCCTCAGGACACACAGCTGACCAGAAGACGCATGCTCAGGTGCCCATGTCCTGAGCGAAAAGTATAAAAGATGGTTCCAGTGTCTGTGCACACTGAGAAGTGCAGTCACGCCGTTATGATAGTAACCAGCTGCCGTTTATTATCAGCTGTGCTGTGTGCTTGACAGGCGTCCTCCCACCCCTTGTTCAGACCAATGTCACGTACAGGAACTCTTGTTCCCATTTTGCAGGTAAGGAAATTCAGGCACAAACAAGTGAAGTGGTATGCCCAGAGTCACGCAGCTGTCCTCTCTCTCTCTCTCTCTCTCTCTCTCTCTCTCTATATATATATATATATATATATATAGACACACACACACACACACACCCCAATGACATTTGCAAACAGCATTGAGAATGGGCCTTACCCTCTCCTACTTCATCGTACCTGACCTCCAGTTCCATCAGGGCAAAGCTGCAGCCCCTGGCCCCAAGACCCCTGGGAGAACCCAGCATCACCTTTTCAGTCATGTGGGCTGTGCTCTGAGACTTGAGCAGAGCACACCAGGCTGGGCCCCCTGAGCCCCACATGCCCCCCACACCCTGTGCCAGCCCCTTACCCCAATGGTGGCATCCTCACTAGCTCCTCCCCGTAGGCCTGGCACTCTCCGACCTGATCCAGAAATACTTCGTGTCACCCACGCTGTTCCGCGTGATCCGCCTGGCGCGGATCGGGCGCGTCCTGCGGCTGATCCGCGGGGCCAAGGGCATCCGGACGCTGCTGTTCGCCCTCATGATGTCGCTGCCTGCCCTATTCAACATTGGCCTCCTCCTCTTCCTGGTCATGTTCATCTACTCCATCTTCGGCATGTCCAACTTCGCCTACGTCAAGAAGGAGTCAGGCATTGATGACATGTTCAACTTTGAGACCTTCGGCAATAGCATCATCTGCCTGTTCGAGATCACCACGTCAGCTGGCTGGGACGGGCTCCTCAACCCCATCCTCAATAGCGGGCCTCCGGACTGCGACCCCAGCCTGGAGAACCCAGGCACCAGCATCAAGGGCGACTGTGGCAACCCCTCCATCGGTATCTGCTTCTTCTGCAGTTACATCATCATCTCCTTCCTCATCGTGGTCAACATGTACATTGCCATCATCCTGGAAAACTTCAATGTGGCCACAGAGGAGAGCAGCGAGCCCCTTGGTGAGGACGACTTTGAGATGTTCTACGAGACGTGGGAGAAGTTCGACCCCGACGCCACCCAGTTCATTGCCTACAACCGCCTCTCAGACTTTGTGGACACCCTGCAGGAGCCACTGCGGATCGCCAAGCCCAACAAGATCAAGCTCATCACGCTGGACCTGCCCATGGTGCCGGGGGACAAGATCCACTGCCTGGACATCCTCTTCGCCCTGACCAAAGAGGTCCTGGGTGACTCTGGGGAAATGGATGCCCTCAAGCAGACCATGGAGGAGAAGTTCATGGCAGCCAACCCCTCCAAGGTGTCCTACGAGCCCATCACCACCACCCTCAAAAGGAAGCACGAGGAGGTGTGTGCCATCAAGATCCAGAGGGCCTACCGCCGGCACCTGCTCCAGCGCTCCATGAAGCAGGCATCCTACATGTACCGCCACAGCCACGATGGCAGCGGGGATGATGCCCCTGAGAAGGAGGGGCTGCTCGCCAACACCATGGGCAAGATGTATGGTCACGAGAACAGGAACAGCAGCTCACAGAGCCCAGAGGAGAAGGGCAAGGCAGGGGATGCCGGACCCGCCATGGGGCTGATACCCATCAGCCCCTCAGACACTGCCCAGCCTCCTGAGCCTCTGCCAGGGCAGACAGTGCGCTCGGGGGTCAAGGAGTCTCTTGTCTAGCAGGCAGCATCAAGGTGGCCCACCGAGTCTCAGCACAGTCCCCAAAGCTCCCCCATGGTGCCTGCACACAAAGTGAGGGAGCAGGGCTTTGAATCTGGGACTGTGTCTGGCTCCCTCCTGGGGGACAGGATTTGGCCACACTGGGGCTGACACCCAGGCCCAAGCACCTGTTTCCCCAGACCATGGGAAATGGGAATTGCACTCAGGGGCTCCATGCTGGGCCTGAGGCCCCTGCCTCCATGATTTCATCTTCAACTTGCTCTGACCTCCTCCTGGGCCCTGTTGCCCCTCCTTTTGGCCTGGGGGAGGTCAGAACATTCAAATCTCTGCCCCTCACTTGGGAAGGAGCTGGCCCAGGGCGGAGGGATCAGTTTCCCCCCATCACCAGTCTTAAGGGTCACTGACCTCTCCCCAGGAAGTGGCTCAGACCCCTCAGCTCCAGCCCAAAGACGTCTTAACCTCAGGGAGTGCAGACACCTGACCCCAGGGCACTACTAGCCCACCCTCTCTGACTCTGGGGTGCAGCTTTGCCCACCAGGCCGGCTAAGGAATTCCCTGGAAAAGGGAAATGTGACTGGCTCAGAAATAGCTCCTCAAAGCCTCAAAACCTGATTGGCCACTGGATCCTGCTGCTTCGGGCTGAGGTGGTGACTCTGAAAACCTTTTCCCAGGCCACGTCCAGGTTTGTAGCTCCCCTGGCTGGCCCCTAGGGGAAGAGCAGAAGGAAGGATGTCACTTGGGAATTGTCCTTTTCTAGGAAGCACAGGTGGGTGGAACAGGCTGGGTCCTACCAGCTGGATCACCACACATGGCCTGAGCTCCAAACCTGAGCGGGGGGGGGGGGGGGGGGGGGGGGCGGGGACCTGCTGCTCAGTAAGAAGATTCTCGCCCCTTCTCACTCTCCTTGCCTCACTCCTCCGTGAGCACCATCAGGGCTCCAGGGTCCTCCTCCAGCCTCAGAGATCTCCCTTCTCATCTCCCACACCCATCTCTTTCTCTCCCCTCATTCTTCCCACCTCTCTCCTCAAAGTGATCCTAATAATACTCACTTGAACTCAGGTTAGAGATTTCAACCCTGGGACATGCAGCAGGGAAGGCCCGACTGGCTCAGGCTGAACCTTCCAACCTCCTGTGGCTGGAAAATCACCTCTGCTGCACTGTTGTTCTGGGCATGGCAGAGCCAGACGTCTGCAGGCTCCTGGAGAACAGAGGTTGTGCCCGAAGGAGGAGGGGTGAAAGACCTGCTCAGGCGTCACTGGATTTATTCACTTGTGTGTGTCCCTGTGGCTGTGTCTACTTGTATGCTTGTAGGCCTGTGTGTGTTCAAGTGTATGACTGTTTGTGTGTGTGTGAACCACCGTGTACTGGTGCCTGCATTATGCACATGTGTCTGGGTATTTTTGTGTATATGTGTGTCAATGTGCCCTGGAGTGTTTCAAGGTCCATGGAGTATGGCTGTTGTGTCGTGCTGTGCAGGCCTGTCCATGGGCACATTCCCGTGTCTGGGAGGGTGAACTGTGCTGTATGTGTGTGGATGAGTGTGAACACACGTGGTAAGGTACACTCAGGGCATCCTGTTGGCCTAAGTTCCTCTTCTTTTTCTTCTTGTTTTTCATGAAGAGTTTGATTAAAATTCAGGAAGCAGCAAAACCTTCAAGACATGTATGTGTGCTTTGTGTGTGCACATCTACCTGTCATGGCTACGGGCCAGAGTCATCTTTATGGTCCACTATGCTCCCTCGCCTGCTCCCGGCACTGCCTGAACAGCCCTGTCCCTCACTCCCAGTGAGCTCCTCTCCTTCCCTCCGTTTCTCATGGCCTGAGCCCTGCTCCCTGCCTCCTGCCTGTGTCTCCTCTATGGAAGGAGGCCTCCACTCCTTCCATCTCTTCCTTCAGAAGCTTTGTCTAATGGGGGCAGCCTCCCCTGCCCAGCACCCTACCCTTCTGCCTTGCCCTCCTGGGCCCTGGAGCCTCAGAAATGTTTGGTTGGGTATTCTCTGTGGACTGTGCAGGCTGCAGAGGAAAAGTAGATGAGCAAGGTCCAGCCCCTCCCTGCTTGTGGCCCCTCGCCTGCAGAAGATGCCCTTTCCTGCCTGGTCCAGGGGGAACAGGTCCCACACCAGGCCAGCAGGTGGGCTCCTTTGTACAGTTCTTACAATAAACCGTCCCTGGTGCCTCTGGTGTGTGGCTTCTCCCTTCTGCGTGTCAGTGTGGATGTGGATGGGGCTGAGGGCGGTGAGAAGCAAGACAGGCCAGTGGGGATTGGAGCCAAATGTGGAAGACACAGGAACCTCTCAGGGGGCAGGGCAGGATAAGGAGGCCCCAGCTCCACCCACTGGCTCAGTCCAGCTCTCTCCTGCCTCCTTCCAAAAGCCCCTTAGCTGGAATCCAAGAGACCAGACAGAATCAGGGGGCAAGCCCCAGCTGTCCAACAGGTAGCACCACACTCCCTCTCTTCCGGGTGTTCCCTGTTGGTACCCTGTGTCCGCAGCTTCTCCTCACCAGAAGCCCCTTCACTTCTCTGCCCCTCTCAGAAGCCTCAAGGTGCCAGTGGGGCACACAGCACAGCTTCTCTCTCCACTCAAAGGTGCTGACCCCAGGACTGACCCCTGACCCCAGCTAGCCCATGGTTACGTGGACCTGTGATAAGAGTATTCTTATGCAGCAGGCTTAGCCCACAGCCCCAGAGAGTGAAATGCAATCTTGTATGTAATTTTCTTTTTCTTTTCTTTTTTTTTTTTTTTTTGAGATAGGGTTTAATTCTGTCACCCAAACTGCAGTGCAGTGGTACAATCATGGCTCACTGCAGCTTCGAACTCCTGGGCTCAAGCAATCCTCCCACCTCAGCCTCCTGAGTAGCTGAGACTACAGGCACACACCACCACACCTGGCTAGTTTTTTGTAGAGATGGGGTTTTGCTAAGTTGCCCAGGCTTGTCTCAGCCTCCCAGCCTCAGGTGATCCTCCTGCCTCAGTCTCCCAAGGTGCTGGGATTACAGGTGAGAACCACTGCACCCAGCCTGTAAATTTCTTTTCTGTAACAACGTCTAACTCCCAGGACTGTAATCTTCCAGACGAGTAAGCAGTTAATTCTTTTCGGGATGTCTACACCCTCCCTTCCTGGGTCCTGAGGTTTTGTAGCATTGGCATGGGGGATGGGGAGGGGCTTTCAGGCTGCCCCCGAGATGTCCTTCCATTGCCTCTGCAGCCCCTTCCCAGCTTGCAGCTCTATGCGTGCTTTGGGGAGTGGAGGTGTCCAGCATCTCAAGAGTTGTCTGAGCGCCCGCAGGGTGCTGTCTTCCCTCCCTGGAGTGGGAGCTTCTCACTGGATTAACATTTTTATTTCAATCGCTTTGGGGTACAGGTAGTTTTTTTGTTACATGGATAAGTTCTCTAGTGGTGATTTCTGAGATTTTGGTGTACCCGTCACCTGAGCAGTGCACACTGTACCCAGTGTGTAGTCTTTTATCCCTCCCCCTCCCTCCAGGTTCCCCACTGAGTTCGCAAAGTCCATCACATCATTCTTATGCCTTTGCATCCCCATAGATTAGCTCCCACTTGTGAGAACATAGGATATCTGGTTTTCCACTCCTGAGTTACTTTACTTAGAATAATGGCCTCCAGCTCCATCCAGGTCGCTCCAAGATGTGATTTCATTTCTTTACTTTTTTTTTTTTTTTAATGGCTGAGCAGTATTCCATAAAGAGGTGTAGATACACCACATTTTCTTTATCCACTCACGCTGATAGGCTTTTAGGTTGCTTCCATGTCTTCGCAATTGTGAATTGTGCTGCTATAAATATGCATGTAATGTGTCTTTTAGAAAACCAAAATTATATCAAGAATCTTCTCCAACCATAGCAGAATAAAACTAGAAATCCACTCCAAAAGGAACCCTCAAAAGTAAACAAATATATGGAAATGAAATAATCTGTTCTTGAATGATTTGGGGGTTAACAGTGAAATCAAGATAGAAATTTAAAAAAATTCTTTGAAATGAATGATAATGACAACTTATCAAAACCTCTGTGATATAGCAAAAGCAGTGCTACAAGAAAGTTCATAGCATTAAATCAAAAGCTCTAGCAGTCATAAAAAAGGATGAGTTCCTGTCTTTTGCAGGGACATGGATGAAGCTGGAAACCATCATTCTCAGCAAACTAACACAAGAACAGAAAACTAAACACCGCATGTTCTCACTCATAAGTGGGAGTTGAACAAAGAACACATGGACACAGGGAGGGAAACATCACACACTGGGGCCTGTCGGGAGGTGGAGCCTGGGGGAGGGGTAGCATTAGGGGAAATACCTAATGTAGATGATGGGTTGATAGGTGCAGCAAACCACCATGGCACATGTATACCTATGTAATAAACTTGCACATTCTGCACACGTACCTCAGAACTTAAAGTATAATAATAACGAAATTTAAAAAACAAAAAAACTGGCAGGGCATGGTAGCTCACACCTGTAATCCCAATATTTTGAGAGGCTGAGGAGGGTGCATTGCTCGAGCTCAGGAGTTTGAGACCAGCCTGGGCAACATGGTGAAATCTGTCTCTATAACAAAGATTAGCCAGGTGTGGTGGCATGACCTGTAGTCCCAGCTACTCGAGAGGCCGAGGAGGGTGGGCCACTTGAGCCGGGGAGGTGGAGGTTGCAGGGAATGGAGATTGCACTCCAGCCTGGGCAACAGACAAGACCTTGCCTCAGAAAAAAGCCAGAAAACACCAACCAAAAAACGCGCCATTGGGATTATTTCTATTAGGAACCTTGGTCACTGAGAGGTTAAGAGTGGGTGTTGCCTCATGAGGTGCTGTTGGTATGTGGGGACTCTGCTTTGCCAGCCAATGCCCTCCCACCTCTGGGTACACACCCGTTATTGTGACCAGCACAATTGCCCTGACATGTGTCCAGACTCTCCCCCGATGGGGGCAGAGCCATCCCTAGTTGAGAACCACTGTAACCTGGGAGGTTTCACTGCTGCTTCAGGACTCAAACCCACGTCCCTTTTAGCAGGTCTCTTCCCAGCCTCAGCAGCCAAGCAGACCTAGGACATCTGGGCTGGGGAAGGAGGTAGATGTCTGAGCTCTTCTCTCCCTGAGGTTCTTCCCGCTCCCAGCCTCCTAGGGTGACTGGGGATAGCTGCCTTCTTGCTTCCCCATCCCCTGAGCCCCTTTTCCCTTCCCCCAACCCCCCTGTCCCTTATTTGCTGTTGCCTTCCTGGAAAGTGGGGTATTGTCAGACATCAGAATGTGAGGCCAGGGGCAGCAGAGGGCAGAGGCAGGGGTGGGCTTGCAAAGCCTCCTGTTCTGGGAAGGAAAGGGCGTCATGAGCCCAGGATGGGGTTCAGGGGTGTTGTCACCAGCAAGGGAACAGCCTGGTCCATACTGTGACAAATAACCCTGCAGGCAGTTGGGCCCCCACTGCCTCCCCCACTCCTGAAAACAGATCCCTGCCCGGCATGAATGGGAATGAAGCCCAAAGGCCACATCTGCGTCCCTGTCCAGGGGGGTGTTGATGTATGTGAGTCTGGAGGATGCCAACTGCCCCCCCAACCTCTGTGCCCCCTACGGTCCCCTGGGCCCCAGGACCAGCTCCCAAGTAGGCCCCACACCACAGGGCACAGGCCACACACTTGTGTAAGCATGCACGCGCACGCACACACACACATACCACAAACATATGTACCCCAAGCCTTTCCCCGTCATACACCCAGACTTAGGGGAGATTCCAGCCTCAAAGCTAACCAAGGACTCTGTCATTAGGGGCTCGGGAAGAGTATTTCCCAAACCAAGAGACCCCCAGATTTTGCCCCCCGCCTCCCCATCAGTCTCTCTCCAACTGCCGTCACCACCATCGGGGCTGAGGGCCCCATGCTGACCTCAGGTGATGTTTACATCTCTGGGCTGTTTATTCCATTAACTGAACATCTGACACCTTTTCAGAGAAATGTTTTTTTTTTTTTTTTCATTTGGAACATCTGGAGATAAGCAAGAACATCTGGGACTGCCCGGAACGAGCTGTTCCTCTGATGAAACCTTAATCCTCCTGTCCTCAATTTCTGTGGCTCAGATCCTGGCCTGCACCCCTTGAGAGTGGCCCCCGCCTTGTAAGGTCTGAGGCCCAGCCCCAGATCCAAAGAGGGACCACCTAGACCCTCTGCCTTCCAGCCGTGGCATGGGAGGCGGGTCTGCTTCTCCCTAAATCCAGACAGACCTGCCCAGCACAGGCTGGAGAATGCAGGACCGTAGGGGAGAGATGGGGACAGCGGGCACCGACAATTTAGCATTGCTTCCTCTCCCAGGGGTTGGGGATGAGAGACAAAAAAGAAGCTGCCAGGAGACATAAAACTCAAAGAGGGCTCAGCTGTGGGGCTATGGTCCTCAAGCCTGCTGTGGACAGTTGTGCAGGTTGGGGCCTGCACAAGACCATCTCTGAAGGGGCTAAACTGGACCCAGGAGCAGCCCCAAAGATTTGCTTAGATGAGTTCCTGAGCACTGTGGCTCCATCCAGCACCCTGCAGACAGGCAGGATACAGCTGGAGGACCTGAGGGCTCTCCTGCACCAGCCCCCGTTCCCTGCCTAAGACCCCCTGGACCTGCAGACAATTCCATGCACTCAGAATCCCACAGTTAAGAACCCCTGAAGAAGCCCCGATGGCTACATGGTGGGTTTTCTCACAGCTGTCTCCATCTACATCCACCCTGTTTGGCAGCCCCTACAAATGCTTTCACAGCATGAGGAAGGGAGGCCTCTTACCCAGGCCTGGACTGAGTCTTCTCCCGGTGGCTGCCACACTTGGCCTGCTCTTGCTCAAGAACCTCTATAGCTCCCATCCCCCACAAGGTCAACTTCCAACATGGTGCCTGCACTCCAGCCAAGAGGCTCTGCTCTGGGCCCCTCCAGGTACCCGGCCTGGGTCTGCGGCTGCCCCCAACCCCCTGCATTGTCCTTCCTCAGTGCTCCTCTTCCCGCAGGGTGAAGGATAGTTCAGGACAGAGGAGCCAAGTTCAAGTTCATTCATAGGACAGGTGCCTCTTTTGCTCAGGGCCCAGGAATAAAGACCTGCCAGGCTCAGATGGCAGAGGGGAGGCTGGCTGTCCTAGGGGATGACCACCGGTGGGGTTGACACAGAGAGACAGGAGCACAGGCTGCCCCCAGAAGGCTGGCCCCCAGAGGCATCCACTGAGGACCCCAGTTGTGCTGCTCAAGCTGGGCGACTGCCAAGCTTAGCAACCCAGCTGACAAGAGCCCGCCCTCCCTCAGGGTCCCCGGAGAGCTGGTGCCTCCCCTGGGTCCCAATTTGCATGGCAGGAAGGGGCCTGGTGAGGAAGAGGCAAGGAGGGGATAGGCTGCAGCCGGTGCAGTTACACGTTTTCCCCCAAGCAGCCTCGGACGTTGTCAGGGGCTTGGGGTTGGGGACGGAGTGGTGACTATGGCTGGGCTGGTGTTGTCTCCTGTGCCCAGCCTCTGGCTGGTGGTGGTGCTGCTGCTGCTCTCAGGTACCCAGGACGAGGCCTGCAGGGTTCGCTCTGTCTCTAGCTCTCTGGGCCCTGCGGCCCAGCCAGCCCCCACCCTCCCACCCCCCCACCCCCGCCTCACCGCTTGCTCCACCCTCCTCTGTCTCTCACTCTTTCTGCCGCCTATCTCTCTCTCATGGCCCTGGGGCCTGGGTCTGTGGGTGTAAGCTGCACATGGGGAGGGGGGCAGGAATCTGTGGCCCCAGCCCCTCTCCTGCCTGGAGGGCATCAGGCTGAGCTGGGCATGAGAAGCAAACCAGAGTTAGCAGCCAGGACCGTAGAAGAACTGAGCTCAGGAGGAAGAGGCTGAGGGCACTGCCTGGGGGCCGGCAGGGGAAGGGACGTCCCAACCGGACCCTGGAAGATGTGTGATCCAAATGCGGCCCCCTCCTCTGGGAGATGGAAGAGCCTCCAGACTGTGACTTTCTTCCTGTTTCTCTTTAAAAACAGAAACAAAAAATAGAGACACGGTCTCCATTGTTGCCCAGGCTGGTCTCAAACTCCCGGCCTCAAGCAATCCTCCTGTCTTGGCCTCTCAAAATGCTGAGATTTCCCTGTCCCTCCTGTCTCATTCAGACGCCTGCTCAAAGCCACCCTGAGGGTCAAAGGCAGAAAGGGGGCTGGGGGCTTGGTGCGAGGTTTCCGGTACCCCCACCCCACTCCTGTCTTTCAAGTACAGGGGGCAGGGAGGACTGTGGGGTCTTGAAGCTGCTGTCATGGAAGGAGGAAGTAGCTCTGGAACCTAGAGGGCATGCAGGGATGGGGCAGCCCAGGCCAGAGGAGGCCCTGACCTGGCCCCGCCCACTTCCTCCCTCCCAGCAGCTGAGCCGGTGCCAGCAGCCAGATTAGATGAACTGAACACGAATCCCAAAGGTCAGTGGTCTCACCCACCCTTCTGAAGGCAAGTTTGCCTGTGTCCGACTCTGGTCCTGTCCTGGGGGTGGCCCCACTTCCCACCCTTGTCTGATCTCCCCATCCAGGACTCCCAACCCCAGGCCTCCTTAGGATCTCCTGTGAACCTCACCCCAGGCCCACTGTCATCCTCATTAGACACAGGATCTCCAGCTATTGCTACTGAGGGGCTGGGATAAACTCTGGGTCACAGCAGGGGAGCCTGGGGGTTTCTCTGGGGCTCAGGCTTTGGCCTGTCTAGCTGGGGATCTGGCTGAGCCTCGGGTGAGCCCTCCAGGGCAGGGATTCCCAGGGAGTGCTCGCTGAGCACAAGGCAGTCGAAGCTGGAAAGAGCGTTCTGGAAAAAGAAGTGGACCCAGTCCCTGCAGGACGGGGGAAGCGGGGGATGATGGAGGGAAGTCAGGTGCGGGGGTGGGGGTCGACCGAGGAAGGGCTCAGTTGCTAGGCTAGGAGTTTGCCTGTATCCCTGAAGAAACCAAGGAGACTGATGACTTCAGGCGGGTGCAGGGAAGCCCAGGGAAGGGAGGGGCAGAAGCACCAGGCCTGTGTGCCTCCAGGTCCTGGGGGTGTGGCCCAGGTCAGGCTGTTGTAATGGGCATGGGAAGGAATGACAAGGTCCCAGCTCTCTTCTAAAGGAAAATCGAAGGGTAGGTGGGGCGGTTGGGAAGGGGCAGAGTCTGAGAGGTTGGCCATGGCTTCTCACGTGGCTCAGCCTCTCACGTGGCTCAGCCTCCTGCCTGTCCCACACCCTGAGAAGCAAGGACTGAGCCCAGGGGTTCTGTGCCAGCCAGGGCAGGGGCCTGCTGCGGGGGCTGGCAGTCAGGAAGATGCCAAGAGGAATTCTGAGCCTGGCCTTCACGCCCACAGGTAGTCCTTGCTCTCAGATCTGGCAGCACCCACGTTTCATAGCCAGGAAACGGGGCTTCACAGTGAAAATACAGTGCTATACGGACGGCACCTCCAGCATCGTGAGCTGGCTCCGGAAGCAGAAGATGGATGAGGAGCCCCAGCAGGTGAACCTGGAACAGGGCCACATGCATCAGACCCAGAACGGCTCTGTCACTACCCTCACCATCCAAGACATTCGGTTTGAGGACAACGGCATCTACTTCTGCCAGCAGGAGTGCAAAAACCCCTTGGAGGTTTACCTGGGCTGCGGCACGGAGCTGCGAGTCATGGGTGTGTGCCAGGTGGCCGGGACGCTCCTGTAGCCATCCACCCCTACCCCAGCCTGGCCTGCCTCTTGCAGCAATGGCCATGGCCCTAGAGCACCCAGGAAAGCCACTGGGACCTGCGGGAGCTGCCCTTGGAGGCCTAAAAGGTGGACTCTGACCCAGGCTCACACCTCCCGACCCTGTCCCCACAGGGTTCAGCACCTTGGAACAGCTGAAGCGGAGGAACACGCTGAAGGACAGCATCATTATGATCCAGACGCTGCTGATCATCCTCTTCATCATCGTGCCCATCTTCCTGCTGCTGGACAAGGTGATCAGGGGACAGGGGAGGCCTTGGGGGACCACAGAGGAGGCCAGACAGGCAGGGTCTCCACCTCCCCAGCTCTTGTTGTGGCCTTGTTGGCCAAGCCCGACCCCAGAGCCTCCCCACTGGCTCACCTATTCAATCATTCTTTCCTTCATTCATTCAGCTGTTCTGGCAGAATGCACCTCACTCCTGACCCCTTACTCCTCATCCCCAGGCCCTCCCCAGCCTGGCCCAGTGGGGGATGGGGCCGGGGGGACACTAATGCTCTGATCTCCAACCCTCTCTGCCCCCAGGATGACAGCAAGGCTGGCATGGAAGAAGATCACACCTATGAGGTAAGGAACAGGGCAGGCCATGCAGCTCTGAGTCTTCGGGTCAGTGGCTGCTATCTGCTGGTGTGGTCAGTGTGTGGCCCCAGCCTGAGCTCTACTTCATGTCTCCAGGGCCTGAACATTGACCAGACGGCCACCTACGAGGACATAGTGACGCTGCGGACTGGGGAAGTGAAGTGGTCTGTGGGTGAGCACCCAGGCCAGGAGTGAGAGCCAGGCCCTCCCCATGCCCTGCACGTAGGCTCCCCAGCCTCAGTGACTGCTTTGGGGCTTCCTGGCTCATGGCCCAGCCCCCTTCCCAGACCCCCAGCCAGCCTCTGAAGCTGGTCCACCAGAGCTGCCACTCATCTCCAGGTCCTGGTCCCCAGCTCTTGCCAAAGGGCCTGGAGTAGAAGGACGACAGGGCAGCGACCTGGAGGGAGTTCTCTGGGGATGGATGGGACCCAGCCTCCTGGGGGTGCTATGAGGGTATCTGTCCCCATGCATGGGATAGGGGAGGCAGAGACTGATCCAGAACCCGAAAATGGACTCGGAGCCAAGGGACTCCCAGCAGAGCTTGGGAAGAGCCATGGACCCAACTGGGCCCCAGAAGAGCCACGGGAACATTATTCCTGTCCCGCAACTGCTTCCACCCGAGGGGGCGCCCCAGCCTCAAGCCCCTTTCCCCACGGAATAAACAATGTGTCCTGAGTAACCACACACAGGCTCATGACATCTTATGGGTTTGGGGTGGATAAGAATGTCCATGTAGGCACTTCTGTTGTTTGAATGCGGCCCCAGTGAGCCCTCGAGGGTGTGGGAGAGGTGACTGCCACCCCTTCTCTCTGAAGACCCAGTTGGAGCCTGTGGTCACACCCCCTTTTCTTTCCCCTGGATCTAGGGGCTGCATGCCAGACCCTAGCTGGACCAGAGTAGCTGGCGAGTGACTGGGCCTGTCCTTCCCCTCAGCAGGGACACCCTAACCCTGTACTCCATTCAGCCAATAAGTACTGAGTCCCGCTCTGCCTCCACCTACAGAAAGCCCTCCCAAAGCACCTGGTCCCTGTCCAAGCCCTATTCAGACCAGTCTAGGCAGTGGTGACTTAGCTACCGCCTTGTGCTACTCACTCCGGCCTTGGTTCTCCAGTCAAACTGGAAGCTCCCTGAGGGTAGGGGTTTCCTTGCCTCTATAACACCCCACCCCCACCTCCCAAGGGGCCTAGGAAAGCTTGATGCGAAGCCATCATCAAGAGTGAGATCTAAAGAGTGGGGCTTTGTATGGTGAAGCCTTGGGGTTCTCAGCCATGAGACTGAGACTTTCCCAGTTTCACATCAGAGGTTTCCTATGTTCCCAGGGTCCTCAAACAATGGCCCCTAGGGCCCTCCAGCCCATCAGCCATGGGAAGTCCTAGGAACAGCTCCCACCTGGGAGGCCAAGTGCAATCAACCTGCAAGTGCAAAGCCCCCTCCCAGCAGGCTGTGCTCCACTTCATGTTGACCCTGGAGGGAATCCTTTGAAGCCTCTCTGCTGTTCCTGCTCCCACCTTCTACCTGGCTGCCTAGGTCCCTGGTGGAGGTAGGAGGACGGAATTAGTGCCACTATGCAAAGCAGCAGGAAAGGAGGGCTTCGGCTCAGTAGAGGCTGATGCCAAAACAACAATAGGGAATTCAATTCCCCTATGGAATTCATAGGGAGCCCCTATGATTGGGGAGCTGCCAGTTTTACTGGCGAATCAAGGTTAGCACACGGAAACTAGTGAGAAAAGTGCCGATTTTCACCAGATTGCCTCTGGAATTCCAGGTGGGGTCGGCGGGGCAGACACCCACATCTGCGGTTTCAGGTCAGTCTCTCCACCACCCTGGGTAAGGCTGGGCCAAGCCGGGCAAACCTTGTGTTTTCTCCGGTCTCTGGGCCTCTGTAGGGAGCCGGATTGTTTTGGCATCAGCCTCTACTGAGCCGAAGCCCTCCTTTCCTGCTGCTTTGCATAGTGGCACTAATTCCGTCCTCCTACCTCCACCAGGGACCTAGGCAGCCGGGTAGAAGGTGGGAGGAGGCTTCATTTCTCCCCCAGGCAGGGTCTCCTACTGCTTGAGGCTGCCCTGGGTTGGGGAAAGCCTTGGCTTTACCTAAACACTTTTTAACACCTTTGAACAACTCAGTTTCCCTGAGACTTTGAAGTTCTTATTTTATTATTATCTTTTTTTTTTTCTTTTTTCTTTTTTGGAGACAGAGTTTCTGTCGCCCAGGCTGGAGTGCATGTCGCGATCTCAGCTCACTGCAGCCTCTGTCACCCAAATTTGAGCGATTCTTCTGCCTCAGCCTCCCAAGTAGCTGTAATCCTGAGTAGCTGGGATTTCAGGCCCACGCCGCCATGCTCGGCTAGTTAGTGTATTTTTAGTAGAGATAGTTTCACCATATTAGCCAGGCTGATCTCAAACTCCTGACCTCAAGTGATCCACCCACCTCAGCCTCCCAAAATGCTAGGATTACATGCATGAGCCACCGCGCCCGGCCTGAAGTTCTTGTTAACAGAAAATCATCTGAGCATAGGCCTCGCCCCCGCCCCCCAGACACCCCCAAAGGGCTTGACTTCATGGGTTTAATGTAGGAGCCCTCCCTGGTCTGTTTTTCTGTTTTAAGGGCTTATGCTCTGGGAGACCTCATGTCTGTCTTGTGTACTCCCAAAACTCTCATAGGCAATGGAAACATAGCTGGGTACTAATTCTGGGGACAAGAGACATCTCAGGTGTCGGTTGTTTTATCTGCAAAATGGGAACCCTAAAGCGCATCCGAAGGAAAAATTTGGACCAGACATTGTTTTGTAAAAAAAAAATCATCACAATAAAATTTCGGGCCAGGCGTGGTGGCTCACACCTGTAATCCCAGCTACTTAGGAGGCTGAGGCAAGAGAATAGCTTGAACCCAAGAGGCGGAGGTTGCAGTGAGCCAAGATCATGCCACTGCACTCCAGCCTGGGTGACAAGAGGAAAACTCAGTCTCAAAAAAGAAAAAAAATTGAGTTTGTTTCCTCTGGGTATACAGAATTTTAGCAAATGTATAGATTTATATCACCACCACAAAATCAGAACACAGAATATGAACCGAAAGCTTTTATTAGGTTCAACAAATATATATTGAGCACCTCTTAAATGCAAGAAAAATGGATTGAACATATCCATCTGCATTTACACCCTGCCTGATGTTCCTGGAAGAGGGTCACACTATCTGATTTTTACAAACTAGGACATCAAGGCCCAGGGAAGTTACCATTAACTGGCCAAAATCACCCCTAGACCTTCTGACCAAATCCAGCATTTTCCCCACTGCACCACGGCCGCCTCTCTTGAAGGGCCTTGCGGCAGTAAGACCTCAAACCTAAGGAGGAGGAATCCAGGGACAACTTTGGCTGTCTTCAAATGTTTGTGATTTGAAAGGGGATTTGCTTTTCCCGTGTTCACAAAGTCCGAGGCCACAAAGGCCCCACCCCTTCTTACCAGGGCCTAGTAGGGGGCCTCCGATCACCCTCCAGAGGAAGCCACTGTGCCATCCTTCCAGGATCCCAGCTCTGCAGCTGCCCCCTGCCCGCCCCTCCCCAGAACACAGCTCTGAGGCCCCTGGTGGGCACATGCCCCACTGCCCACTGGGGGAATCCAGCTCCTCCCCGGGGACCCTGGTTGAAGCACAGGTGGCTCCTCCTCCATTCTAGCTTGACTTCCTGCCCTCTTGCTGCAGGTGCTGCTAGGGTTGGGGTGATCTGACCGGAGGTTTCGGGTGTTTTTCCAGCAGAATCAGAGGTGAGAGAAAAAGAAAACACAAAAAACTGTGGCTATTTGGGTGCTGTTGGGGTGGCAAGAACATGTAGTGTTCATCCCTTAGTGTCTGGCCTGGCTGAGGCTTCTCAGAGGGGTCTCTAAAGCCATCTCAGGGCTAGGTGCTGTGGCTCATGCCTGTAATCCTAGCACCTTGGGATGCCAAAGCGGGTGGATCATATGAGGTCAGGAGTTCGAGACCAGCCTTGCCAACATGGTGAAACCCTGTCTCTACTAAAAATACAAAAATTAGGCTGGGCACAGTGGCTCACGCCTGTAATCCCAGCACTTTGGGAGGCTGAGGCAGGCAGATCACCTGAGGTTGGTAGTTCAAGACAGCCTAGAGAAACCTCATCACTACAAAAAATACAAAATTAGCCAGGCCTTTTGGTGAATGCCTATACCCCTAGCTACTCAGGAGGCTGAGGCAGGAGAATTGGTTGAACCTGGGAGGCAGAGGTTGCAATGAGCCAAGATCACACCATTGCACTCCAGCCTGGGCAACAAGAGCAAAACTATCTCAAAAACAAAAACAAAAATTAGCCAGGCATGGTGGCATATGCCTGTAATCCCAGCTACTCAGGAGGCTGAAGCAGGAGAATCGCTTAAACCTGGGAGGGGGAGCTTGCAGTGAGTTGAGATCATACCACTGCATTCCAGAGTGGGCAACAGAGCGAGACTCTGTCTCAAAAAAAAAAAAATGCCGTTTCAGAATGTGGTATTTTCAATCCCTGTCTGCTCTCTTTGGTTGGCCTCAAGAAGTGGATTCGGAGCCCACATCTGTGACATTCCTGGGTGTGTCCCAAGTCTCCAAGCTGCTCCTGGCATGTCATCCTCTGGTCCTGTCATTGACTCAGCTGCAAACAATCACAAACCTTCCTTTTGGGACACCTGCCTCTCCCACCCAAAGCCTTTACTTAGAAACAGGTGACTGCAGAGAACAAAAATTAATGAGCATTATCTCTGGAATTAACTCAGAGTGTAATTTGTTAAAACACACTAGGCTGATCCTAAGACAATTTTCAACATTTTTTTTAAAGGCATTCCCACCCCCACCAGACCTAATATTTTCCCCACATGGCAGGAGGGGACGTAGGGAGTTCCAGTTCTGTAAGTTGTGAGTCCATATAGAACATTCTTGGGGGCTGGGCCTGGTGGCTCACGTCTGTATTCACAGCACTTTGGGAGGCCAAGGCAGGTGGATCACCTGAAGTCAGGAGTTCAAGATCAGCCTGGGCAACATGGCGAAACCTCAACTCTACTAAAAACACAAAAATTAGCCGGGCATGGTGGTGCGTGCCTGTAATCCCAGCTACTGGGGGACTGAGGCAGGAGGATCACTAGAATCTGGGAGGCAGAGGCTGCAGTGAGCCAAGAGAGTGCCACTGCACTCTAGCTGAGCAACAGAGCAAGACTCCATCTCAAAAAGAAAAACAAATTCCTGGGAACTTGAACACACTGCCTTGTGCATTTAATTTTGCTCATGTACATATTTTCATAAATTCAAGTTCCTGTCATTTTATTTTATTTTTTTATTTATTTATTACTTATTTTTTGAGATGGAGTTTTGCTTTTGTTACCCAGGCTGGAGCGCAATGGCATGATCTTGGCTCACTGCAACCTCCACCTCCTGGGTTCAAGAGATTCTCCTCCCTCAGCCTCCCAAGTGGCTGGGATTCCAGGCACACACCACCATGCCTGGCTAATTTTTGTATTTTTAGAAGAGACAGGGTTTCACCATGTTGGCCAGGCTGCTCTTGAACTCCTGACCTCAGATGATCCGCCTCCCAAAATGCTGGGATTATAGGCGTGAGCCACCACTCCCTGCTCTGTCCTTGTTATTTTAAAATAATTATACCAGTAGGAGGACGTCCAGACACAGCACTGGCTACCTGGCCATGCCCAGCCAGTTGGACATTTGAGTTCTTTGCTTGGCACTGTCCTCTCATGTGTTGGGTCCACTTAGTAGATGCTTGTCAAATTTCTGGGCCTGGGGCTGTGCCAGCTGCCTCATCCCTTCACCTCCTGGCTTATTCTCTCCCTCCATATTTTAGCTATTTTCTTCATGGCAATGTTTCCAATTAGAAATTTCTATTTTACCATTACATATTTATGTGTTTGCTCTTATCTGTCCCCAGTAGATCATTAGCTCCAGAAGAGAAAGGATCATATATTTTCTTTATCTAGGTAAGCCCATCTGCCTGGTACCATGTCTGGCACATGTTATAGGCAACAATTTACTTGTTGAATCAGTGAATACACATGTAGAAGAATGAATGAATAAATGAATGAATGAATGAATGAATGAATGAATGAAAAGATGCAAGGCAAAAATCCAGCCTCAAAGAGCTTAGAGTCTGGTAAGAGAAATAAAACATGTACAAATAGCCACGGGACAGGTCAAAGGAAGGAGAGGCTATATCCAGCTGAAGGCACCCCATCAGGAAAGCACCCCAGACTTCCTACAACTACTAGACATACCTTGATGGTTTTCACTTCTCTGTCAATGGACTGTCTCCCTGGAGAATAATCCCCAAAGTGAAATTACTTAGCATGTCCAGGTAGGTAGATGGTTATATACTTATTGGTTGTTCAGAGATCGTCAACCAGTGTAGACAATACCCCCACCGAAACAGAACTGTGCCTGCCCCTCTCCTCTTACAAGGCTTCCAAGGCCCTTCCTCCATGCCTGAACCCCCTGGCCATATCATGTGGCAAATTTAAGGGTCCAATGAGATACAGGAAGTGAAACACGATGTACACTGAAATGTGCAATACAAATTTGCAGCATGATGTGCCTCGGTTCACTAAACCAAGTTACACTGGGTCGTTGTTTTCTACCACTTTTCCTAATGCCTACGGACACCTCATTCTGCAACTGATGTTCCTTGTGTTCAGTTTTCCCCATCTTCATGGAACGTCCTCTGTGCAGAGGCTTGAGCCCTGTCCTGCTAGTTTTGCACTGAGGCAAGTTCTGTCTATGCCTAGAAGTGCTACCATCTTCACTATATGAGGTTTCTAAAGATCTTGGCATGGAAGGAAAGACGTGGTCACTTAGGAACTGGGAGAACTCCGGGCAAGCCACCTTATCTCTTTGAGCCTCAGTATCCTCAGCTATGAAGTGGGACTCACATCCCTAAGGCTCAGTAGCGTGCCAAGCACATGGTGGACACGCAGAAGTATTGATCATCTTCCCCACCTTCCCTAGGAAAACCCTTGGGAATCCCCAAATAATATTCTCTGAATACCCTAATCCAATGAGCAGAGTCATTGACTCAGTACCAAGACTCACAGAAAGGACGCTGGAAGCCAAAAGGAGGTACAGTATGTCCTGGATGCGATAACCAGCCGCTGATCTGAAAGAAGAAAGAACAGAGCTGCAGGTGGAAAGGGTGGGCCTCAAATCACCCAAAGTGGGAGTGGAAGGAGCACCCACCAGTCCCTCAAAGGCTGTTCCTAAGACTGGGTGAGTATGGCTCCGAAAAATGTGATCATCCGTGACCCCACAGTCTTGAATCTGAGGAGATCCCAAAGCCTGAAAGACACCACTTCAGGATCAATAGCAGATCTGTGACTTTCCACAGCAGGCACAGAGAACCCTAGAGTGAGTTGAGGTTGGTCACAGGAAGGCTTCCAAACACAGAGAAATTCATGAATCCAAAATCATAAAGAGAGGGTCTAAAAAAAAAACAAGATGATTGTGAGATGTATCCTGAGCCTTTTGAGACTGAGGTCAGAGGTGTGAAGCCCAGCCTTGCCCCCCTGGCCATGCGGGGCCCTTGCTGGGTAGTGTCTCAGCCTTCAGGAGCCAGGGATACAGCCCCAAGTGATGCCCCAACAGCGGGTGACTTCCTAGTACTGTTAGGAAAATCCCAAGTCTAATTCAAAGATTACTTTTTAATAGCAATGAATTGTGGATGTGGCCTCCATTGCTCCAGGCCCCGGGAAGATTTCACACTAGAGAAAAAAGTCACTGACTTCTACCCACACGTGTGGGCCTCAGTTCACTCCTCTGGTCCAGCGGTTGCAATGGTAACCCTTTGTGAAGGTGCTTCCCCAGGGCTCTCTAGAGTCCTCTGAGTCACCATAATTCTGGGGTCTACAGAAATGGAAACTTGAGAGGAGACACTCCCCTCCCTTGGCTTGTCCCACGTGTTCCTGGCAGTAACTTGTCTGGGGAGCCTCGCCACCCCTGTGTCCACCTGTGGAGTTATGGAGTGGTCCCCAGCTCAGGCCCCTGACACCCTCATTCCAACGGCAACTTCTTCCATGGCCTGAAGTCCATATCTAAGTCCCCAGCACTGGCTAAAAGGCCCTGTCATGGAGCTCCATGTCCCAGTCGACACTGGAGGAAGGATGGTGGGGGACACAGAAAGCTACATGGAGCTCAGGGACCCTCCTCCATTCCCACCTGGCTCCTCCTCTTTGGTGGTGTTGGAAGGAGCAGGGGTAAGTGGTGTCTCCACCCTCCCAGTGACCCCATGTTTCTCAGAGCTGGTGTCATTGATGACATCCCTCTCGGGTCCTCCCACAGGCCTGCCTGGAGAACAGCCCATAGCCCAGTGCCCTCTCAGCAGATGATGAGTCTGGGGTGCTGGTTGGGTTATGCTTCAGGAATGATGGCAGAAAATGAGCTCCGTCTTCTGCTCTGAAAAGAGGGAGGTGGCAGAGCCCAGCATTCACATCCTCGACCACAGGGGTGTGGGTTCTCAATGTTGGGCGGCAACACACTGCCAACCACTTCTGGAAGCGTTTCCTTGTTTGCTTGCTTGTGTTTCTACAGCGTGGCGTGCTGGATGCCCTTAAACTCATGGGTGGAAGATTTCAGGGCAGGAGAGGGTGTTCTTTCCTGCTCTCATCTCTGGGGGCATCTGATGCCTGTGACCTCCAGATGATATTGAAATAGCCCCACCCTGGGCACCAGGAAACAGGAGGCTCAGTCCTGGCCTTCTCTGTCTTCGCCTTGTCCTGCTGTGAGGTTTCCAAAAGGCACCCCGTGCCACTGGGCCATTCTCACCTGGGAACTGAGGGAGAACAATCTGCTCCTTATGAAAGGACAAAATGAGGCAAAGGACTGCTTGTGTCGGAGGCAGGATCCCTGAACTCAGAGAAATTTAGAAGCTAAAATAGCTGGGTTGGGAGTGGTGGATCACACATGTAATCTCAGTACTTTGGGAGGCCAAGGCAGGCAGATCACCTGAAGTCAGGGGGAGTTTGAGACCAGGCTGGCCAACATGGTGAAACCCCATCTCTAAAAAAAGAAGTACAAAAATTAGCCCGACATAGGAGTGGGTGCCCGTAATCCCAGGTACTCAGGAGGCTGAGGCGGGAGAATCACTTCAACCCAGGAGGCAGAGGTTGCAGTGAACCAAGATCATGCCACTGCACTCCAACCTCGGTGACAGAATAAGACTCCATCTCAGAAGAAGAAGAAAGAAGAAAGAAGAAAAAAGAGGAGAAGGAGGAGGAGGTGGAGGAGGAGGAGGAGGAGGAAGAGGCAGAAGCAGCTCAGCTAACTAAACTGAGTAGCACCACACTACCTGTTCTGGAGAAAGGACTTTGTTTCTTTTTCTTTTCTTTTTTTTTTTTGAGATGGACTTCTGGACTGTCTCCCAGGCTGGGGTGCAGTGGCACAATCTTGCCTCATTGCAACCTCTGCCTTCTCAGTTCAAGGGATTCTCCTGCATCAGCCCCCAAGTAGCTGGGATTACAGGTATGCCCCATCACGCCCAGCTAATTTTTGTATTTTTAGTAAAGATAAGAGTTTTGCCATGTTGACCAGTCTGGTCTTAAACTCCTGACCTCAAGTGATCCACCTACCTCAGCCTCCCAAAATGCTAGCTCACATTTGTGAGCCACCTTGCCCGGCCTGGAGAAAGGACTTTGAATGACACAATGTGGGAAGAGCAAGCTTGTGGAGCTCTGCTATCCTGGCTGAGGTAGCTCATGCAAGTCAGTCTCTCTGAGCCTCAGACTCTTGATCTGTGAAATGGGATGTCATAATAGCTCCTTCACAGACAAGTGGCAGGTCAGATGTGAGAATGCACAGGCAGGCCCTCTGCAACTGGATAAGCTCCATACAGATCTGGAAAGGAGGAGGAGAAAAAGGAGGAGGGGTTTCCATGGCTGCATAGGGCATCCTTCGGCGGGATGTTTTCTGAGTTCCAAAGCCGGGGAGGAGGCTCAAACCTTCAAGAGCTCCTCCAACTTTGAGATTCTCTGATGGATTCAGGGCTATGGGAGAAAGCGCTTGTGGTCCGTGTCTGTTCCCAGGACTTCTGCTTCTTGGTTTGTATCTCTGCTACAGGCTCAAGGAGGTGGGGCAATACCTGGAGTCTGGGTTCTTTGTCCCCACAGACCTGGGACCCCCAAAGCTCAGAAAAAGGGGAGGGCACAGTATGGGGTTGATTCCCTCTAGTGGTCAGTGTTCACACTGCATTCAGCTCCCTCAGGCGGGCCCAGGAGAGCTCAGCCAAAGTGGAATTCAGGACTGAATCTTGCCCAGAACCCCCAGAATCTATTGGCTGTGGTTGGCCCCTTTTCCCAGCACACACTCTCTCTGGTGGGTGGAGGGGAACCACGCAGGGAGGAGGAAAGGGATAGGATAGAGAGTGGGATGGGGTCCATGTGGGTCTCAAGGAATGGCTATCCTGACATCCTTTCCCGCCTTCAGGTTGGCCAGCATGGCATGCTGCCAGAGGGCACCCACCTACCCCTTAAAGAGAGGCCAGGATGGGTGGTGCCTCTGGCTGACACTCTCTGCAGAGCGCTAGTGACGGTGGGAAGGGAAAGATGACAAGCCAGGGGATATGATACCAGAGTGTGTGGGAGAAGCTTCTAAATTATCCATTAGCACAGGCACGTCAGTGGTCCCATGCATAAATGTACAAAGAAACAGGGGCAAGTAGGGAGAGAGAAGGGGCCAGGGTATAAAAGGGCCCACAAGAGACCAGCTCCAGGATCCCAAGGCCAAACTCCCCAAACCACTCGGAGTCCTGTGGACAGCTCACCTAGCTGCAATGGCTGCAGGTAAGGGTCCCTAAAATCCCTTTTGGCATTATATGTCCTGAGGGGAGAGGTGGCGCCCTGTAGATGGGACCAGGGGGACTAACCCTCAGGTTTTGTACTTCTGAATATGGGTATCGCCATCTAAGCCAATCTCAGATTGTTCTTGGTCCCAGAGAAATAATAATTTTTTTTAAATCCAGCCCCTGAGCAATAGCACTGGCCCCTGCTCTCCGGCTCCCTCCCTTCCCCTCCGGTTTCTTCCCAGGCTCCTGGACATCCCTGCTCCTGGCTTTCACCCTGCTCTGCCTGCCCCAGCTTCGAGAGGCCGGTGCCTTCCCAACAATTCCCTTATCCAGGCTTTTGGACAATGCTATGCTCCGTGCCCATCGCCTGCACCAGCTGGCCTTTGACACCTACCAGGAGTTCGTAAGCTCTTGGGGAATGGGTGCCCATCAGGGGTGGCAGGAAGGAGTGACTTTCCCCTGCTGGGAAGTAATGGGAGGAGACGAAGGAGCTCAGGGTTGTTTCAGAAGTGAAGATGCAGGCAGATGAGCATAGGCTGAGAGAGGTCCCAGAAAAGTAAGAGTGGGAGCTGGTCACCAGCATAGACCTTGGTGGGCGGTCCTTCTCCTAGGAAGAAGCCTATATCCCGAAGGAACAGAAGTATTCCTTCCTGCAGAACCCCCAGACCTCCCTCTGCTTCTCAGAGTCTATCCCGACACCCGCCAGCAAAAAGGAAACTCAGCAGAAATCCGTGAGTGCCCACCCTCTCTGCAGGCAGGGAGGGGGGAGGCCTGTGGTCAAAGCCCCCGGGCAGCCCACCCACTGCCGGTCCTTCCCCTGCAGAACCTAGAGCTGCTCCGCATGTCCCTGCTGCTCATCCAGTCCTGGTTCGAGCCTGTGCAGTTCCTCAGAAGTGTCTTCGCCAACAGCCTATTGTATGGTGTCTCAGACAGCGACGTCTATGAGTACCTGAAGGACCTAGAGGAAGGCATCCAAACTCTGATGGGGGTGAGGGTGACACCAGGGGTCCCCAATCACTGCTGCTCTCTTTTTAGCAGTCAGGCCCTGACCCAAGAGAACTCAGCTTATTCTTCATTTCCACCAGTGAATCCTCCAGGCCTTTCTCTACACCCTGGAGGGGAGGGAGGAAAAAGAATGAGTGAGAGAGGGAGGGAACAGTGTCCAAGCGCTTGGCCTCTCCTTCTCTTCCTTCACTTTGCAGAGGCTGGAAGATGGCAGCCCCCGGACTGGGGAGATCTTCATGCAGACCTACAGGAAGTTTGACGTCAACTCGCAGAACAATGATGCACTGCTCAAGAACTACGGGCTGCTCTACTGCTTCCGGAAGGACATGGACAAGGTCGAGACGTTCCTGCGCATTGTGCAGTGCCGCTCTGTGGAGGGCAGCTGTGGCTTCTAGCTGCCAGGTGGCATCCCTGAGATCCCTCCCCAGTGCCTCTCCTGGCCCAGAAGGTGGCACTCCAGTCCCGCCAGCCCTGTCCTAATAAAACTAAGTTGCATCATGTTGTCTGACCAGGTGTCCTTCTGTAATATTATGGGGTGGAGGGTGGGGGTATGGAGTAAAGGAAGGTTGGGAAGAAAACCTGCAGGGCCTACGGGGTCTGTTTGGAACCAGGTCCCTGAAACATAATGAACTTGATCTCCCTGGGCCAGAAGGAAGCTGGCACAGCCCTGCTGTCTATTACTTACTGAGGCCACTCCACCAGATCTGTGCTCCCAGCTTGCTGGTCACAGCCCACTGGTCATCCCAGTGATGATTTGAAGGCATTTCTTCTTTCCCAACCATCACCAGCAACACCAAACCTAGCCCCCCAGGAGTGGGAATAAATGAAAACAAGATCAGCTATTAATAGTAGAAGCAAAAGTTCCCCCAAAGAGTGAGAAAACAATGTCATAGAATTACTAGTGTGCAGAAGAATTTTAAGACAAATATTCCTTAAGGGCAACTACACTTGGGAAATGAGAACAATACAAAAATGAGTTTGATACATACAGAACCAGAGCATTTGGGATCTGAATTAGGGCAAGGGAAGTGGAAGATACATTTTATTTGGGGTTGCAAATGAAGTGCCAACAGGTTCCAGATAGATAACAATGTAAGCAATGAGGGCTGGATGGGAAGGGATAAATCCCAGCTGATACTCGCTTCTCTTAGGAAGATGCAATGGAGAGGGGTGGGAACCAGCACCACCTGCAGAACTCACAGTCCACATCTAAATCCCCAGTACTGGCTAAAAGGCCCTGTCATGGGGGCTCCATGTCCCAGTCAACACTGAAGGAAGAATGGTGGGGGACACAGAAAGCTACATGGAGCTCAGGGACCCTCCTCCATTCCCACCTGGCTCCTCCTCTTTGGTGGTGCTGGAAGGAGCAGGGGTAAGTGGTGTCTCCACCCTCCCAGTGACCCCATGTTTCTCAGAGCTGGTGTCATTGCTGACATCCCTCTCGGGTCCTCCCACAGGCCTGCCTGGAGAACAGCCCACAGCCCAGTGCCCTCCCAGCAGATGATGAGTCTGGGGTGCTGGTTGGGTAATGCTTCGGAAATGATGGCAGAAAATGAGCCTCCGTCTTCTGCTCTGAAAAGGGGGAGGTGACAGGGACTTAGGAACGGGGAGAATTCACATTCACAGCATTCACATCCTCGACCACAGGGGTGTGGGTTTTATATGTTGATTGGCAACACCACTGCCAACCACTTCTGGAAGCGTTTCCTTGTTTGCTTGCTTGTGTTTCTACAGCGTCGCCTGCTGGATGCCCTTAAACTCAGGGTGGAAGATTTCAGGGCAGGAGAGGGTCTTCTTTCCTGCTCTCATCTCTGGGGGCATCTGATGCCTGTGGTCTCCAGATGATATTGCAACAGCCCCAACCCTGGGCACCAGGAGACAGTGCCCAGGCCAGGCTCAGTCCTGGCCTTCTCTGTCTTCACCTTGACCTGCTGTGAGGTTTCAACAAGACACCCAGAGCCACTGGGTCATTCTTACCTGGGAATTGAGGGAGAACAATCTGCCCCTTATGGGAGAACAAAATGAGGCAAAGGACCGCTTGTGTTGGGGACAGGATCCCTGAACTCAGAGAAATTTAGAAGCTGAAATAACTGGGTTGGATCTCAGTACCTTGGGAGGCCAAGGCGGGCAGATCACCTGAAGTCAGGAGTTGAAGACAAGACTGACCAATATGGTGAAACTCCATCTTTACTAAAAAAGTACAAAAATTCACCTGGCATAGTGGGGGGTGCCTGTAATCCCAGCTACTCAGGAGGCTGGGGTGGGAGAATTCCTTAAACCCAGGAATCAGAGGTTGCAGTGAGTCAAGATCATGCCACTGCACTCTAGGCTGGGTGACAGAATGAGTCTTCATTTCGAAGAAGAATAAGGAGAAGAATGGGAAGAAGGAGAGGAAGGAAGATGAAGAAACGAAGAAGAGGAAGAGGAAGAGGAAGAGGAAGAAGGAGGAGGAGGAGGAGGAGGAGCCAGCTAAAATAACTAAATGAATAGCAGCATGCTACTTGCTCTGGAGAAAGTACTCTTTTTTTGTCTTTTTTTTTTTTTTTTGAGATGGAGTTCTGCTCTGTCACCCAGGCTGGAGTGCAGTGGCGCAGTCCTGGCTCACTGCAAACTCTGCCTCCTAGGTTCAAGGGATTCTCCCGTTTCACCCTCCTGAGTAGCTAGGATTACAGACATGAGCCACCATGCACAGCTAATTTTAGTATTTTTAGGAGAGATGGAGTTTTGCCATGTTGTCCAGTCTGGTCTTGAACTCCTGACCTCAAATGTGCTGGGATTACAGGCGTGAACCACCATGCGCAGGCTGGAGAAAGGACTTTGAATGACACAATGTGGGAAGAGCAAGCTTGTGGAGCTCTGCTTCCCTGGCTGAGGTAGCTCATGCAAGTCAGTCTCTCTGAGCCTCAGACTCTTGATCTGTGAAATGGGATGTCATAATAGCTCCTTCACAGACAAGTGGCAGGTCAGATGTGAGAATGCACATGCAGGCCCTCTGCAACTGGATAAGCTCCATACAGATCTGGAAAGGAGGAGGAGAAAAAGGGAGGATGGGTTTCCGTGGCTGCATAGGGCATATTTCAGCATGATGTGTTCTGAGTCCCAAAGCTCGGGAGGAGACTCAAACCTTCAAGAGATGGATTCAGGACTATGGGAGGAGGTGCTTGTAGTTCGTGTCTGTTGCCAGGATTTCTGTTTCTTGGTTTGTATCTCTGCTGCAGGTCCAAGGAGCTGGGGCTATACCCTGAGTCTGGATTCTTCTTTCGCACAGACCTGGAGGAGCCCCAAGGCTCAGGGAAAGTGAAGGACAAAGTGTGGGGTCGGCTCCCTCTAGTGGTCAGTATTAGCACTGCATCCAGCTGCCTCAGGCTGGCCCAGGAGGACTCAGCCAAAGTGGAATTCAGGACTTAATCTTGCCCAGAACCCCCAGAATCTATAGGCTGCGGTTGGCCCCTTTTCCCAGAACACACATTCTCTCTAGTGGGTGAACGGGAAGCATGTGGGAGGAAGAAAGGGATAGGATAGAGAATGGGATGGGGTCCGTGTGGGTCTCAAGGACTGGCTATTCTGACATCCTTTCCCTCCTTCAGGTTGGCCAGCATGGCATGCTGCCAGAGGGCACCCACCTGCCCCTTAAAGAGAGGCCAGGATGGGTGGTGCCTCTGGCTGGCACTCTGTGCACAACTCTCACAGCTCTGGTGACAGTGGGAAGGGAAAGATGACAAGCGGGGGGCAGGATACTAGCATGTGTGGGAGAAGCTTCTAAATTATCCATTAGCACAGGCATGTCAGTGGCCCCCCTTGCATGAACGTGCATAGAAACAGGTGGAGGCCAGCAGGCAGGGATAAGGGGCAAGGGCCCAGAAGAGACCAGTTCCAGGGTCCCAAGGCCCAACTACCCAAACCATGGAGAGTCCTGTGGACAGCTCACCTAGCTGCAAATGGCTGCAGGTAAAGGTCCCTAAAATCCTTTTCAGCATTATATGTCCTGAGGAGAGAGACACATGGGACGGGGGCACTAGTCCTCAGGTTTGGGCTTCTGAATGTGGGTATTGCCATCTAAGCCCAGATTTACAGCCAATCTCAGAATGTTCCTGGTCCCTGGGGGGAGACAAAAAAGAAACAGCCCCTGAGCAAGAGCACTGCCCTCTTGCTCTCCGGCTCCCTCCCACGCCCACTGGTTTCTCCCTAGTCTCCCCGGCATCCCTGCTCCTGACTTTCACCCTGCTCTGCCTGCTCTGGCTTCGAGAGGCCGGTGCCTTCCAATCAATTCCCTTATCCTCGCTTTATGACTATGCTGTGATCCGCGCCTATCGCCTCAACCACCTGGCCTTTGACATCTACCAGAAGTTTGTAAGCTCTTGACAAATGGATGTATGTCAGGGTTGGCAGGAAGGGGTGACTTTGCCTTGATGGGAAGTAATGGGAGGAGAGGAAGGAGCTCAGGATAGTTTTCTGAATCGAAGATGCAGGCAGATGAGCATACACTGAGTGAGGTCCCAGAAAAGGAACAATGGGAGCTGGTCAGCAGCATAGATATTGATGGGTGGTCCTTCTCCTAGGAGGAAGCTCATAGCCCAAAGGAACAGAAGGATTTTTTCCCCCGCATAACACCAGGACCTCCCTTTGCTTCTCAGCGTCTGTCCCAACACCCACTAACAGAAAGGAAACTCTGCAGAAATCTGTGAGTGGCCACCCTCTCCACCAGGCAGGGATGGGGGAGGCCTGTGGTCAGAGCCCCTGGGCAGCCCACCCACTGCCGGTCCTTCCCCTGCAGAACCTAGAGCTGCTCCAAAACTCCCTGCTGCTCATCCAGATGTGGCTCAAGCCCATGCAGTCCCTCAACAGTGTCTTTGCCAACAGCCAACAGCATAGTGTCTCAAACAGCTTCATCTATGAGTACCTGAAGGACCTAGAGGAAGTCATCCAAACTCTGATGGGGGTGAGGGTGTGCCAGGGGTCCCCAATCCTGGGGACCCCCTGGCTTCCAGAGCTGGGGGAAAGCAACACTGCTGCTCTCTTTTTAGCAGTCAGGCCCTGACCCAAGAGAACTCAGCATATTCTTCATTTCCACAAGTGAATACTCCAGGCCTTTCTCTATACCCTGGAGGGGAGGGAGGAGAAAGAATGAGTGAGAGAGGGAGGGAACAGTGTCCAAGCGCTTGGCCTCTCCTTCTCTTCCTTCACTTTGCAGAGGCTGGAAGATGGCAGCCCCTGGACTGGGGAGATCTTCAAGCAGACCTACAGGAAGTTTGACAGAAACTCGCACAATGACGATGCACTGCTCAAGAACTATGGGCTGCTCTACTGCTTCTGGAAGGACATGGACAAGGTTGAGATGTTCCTGCGCATTGTGCAGTGCCGCTCTGTGGAGGGCCTCTGTGGCCTCTAGCTGCCAGGTGGCATCCCTATGTCCCGTCCCCAGTGCCTCTCTTGGCCCTGGAAGGTGGCACTCCAGTCCCACCAGCCTTGTCCTAATAAAATTAAGTTGCATCATGTTGT